TATCTCCTACACCCTCTCCCCCCCCCCTCAGAAAATTTATGCTACTATTCTGTTTTATATTAAACTAATTAGATAAAATTCTTGAAAATAATGCAATTTAATGTATTTTCTACTAGATATTCTTCCGAAATTAACATTTCCTATAAATATACAATACTATTATCAGTGGCGTCGCTAAGGGGGGGGGGGAGCGCAGGAGCTCGAGCCCCCTAAAAAATTTGAATAGCCCCATTAGCAAAAATTTTTTTTAATGACTCCTTAATATCCCCTTGAACTAAAAATAAATTTTTTTAATTACTCCCTGAAAAACTGATAAATTTCTTTTATTTTATAATTCTATTGAGTAATATATAGATTTAATTTTATTATGTAAAAATTAATAGGACTATCTAAATTTTTATTAAATGAATACTATTTTAAATATTAGATTAGATTAATACATATAAATTATATTTTCACTATGTCAGCTTGCGATCAAATTCTGTGTTAAAAATATATCAATATCACTCACTATTTAGCATTAACAGTTTAATCTTAATTAACTTTTATTATTTTAAATTATTATATAACCCTAATTAAATTAATATAATTATTTATTAATTGAAAATTAACAAATTTAATTGTAATTAGCCTAGTTTAACATCACTTATCAATTATATTATTGATTTTTAAATTTAATTATCATGACTCTTTCTAAAATTATTTTCAAAGTCCAAATCCAAATAAGTATAAGGCTGCATTCAAAGTGGAGACGTATCCGATTTTTACATCTGTTCCGTCAAAAGTCAATTTCATTATAAATGATATATATGTTCAAAGTGCGTCAGTTCCGTTATCTTCCGAATTTAAAATGGGATCCGGCAAATTTTGAAGTCAAAACTTTTTGACTTTTTGATCCGCCAAATATTATAGAGGGTTATAACGTTATTTATAATATTTTAAAAATTAATATTAATAATATGGCCATGACTGCATATAACACCTGTGATATTTAGTGAAAAAACTAAACATAACACCAGCGATATTTTGTGAAAAAACTAAATATCATCGCACATTCATTTAATATTTTTATTTCCTTGTACCCGCGATATTTAAAATCATCCATTTTATAAAAAAATTGGATTTTATTTTTAAAGTTACTGAATTATACATTAGTTTATATGATTTTATTTATACTATAAAAGAATCAAGATTTATTTATGATAAAACAGATGAAATGTACAAAGATATATTTATAAAATGTAAGTAGACATATAGTTCATAATCCTCTATTATATATAATAATATATAAAATATTAGGTAAAATGCCACTTTTGCAGACGTATTTGACAGTCATATTATCTATTACAGTTAATATTATAATAAATTTTACTAATCAATGCTTTTGATAATAAATATAAGTAACAATTTGCATTCAACTATTTAACGCCATCTATTTATTTAAAATATTATTATTCATCCTACAATGGATGTTTTAAATTAGATATTTTTTCTTCTTTCTTTTTATGTTTTTTAGGAAAGCTATTTTTTTCTTCTTTGAAAAACAGTTTTAAATTAAATTTTTAATACGAATATATTTTAGATATTATTACAAACTACTATTATTTTAAGATATAATATACCAACTAGAGATTATGCTACAATAATATATAAAATTTTAATTGATTTCATAATATCATTCTGGTTTTTATTTTATAGTTACAAAATGTATCTTTTCTAATATGTAAACCTTGCCCTGTAAATTACTCAAGGCTTCAATATATTTTCATAATTCATGGCTATGACTGTAAATTAACCAGCATCTATTATTAGTGTGAGTATGTAATTTAAGATTATAACTACAGTTGCTGAGAACATATGGTTGCATATTTTAGATATGCAATAATGGTCAACTGTGAAGTCGTTTATATATCATTAAAAATGGAAAATAATCTTTTAGAAATTTAATATCTCACAATATATTTCTTGATGACTTATCTTACTTCCATCATGTCATCTGAGAGGAAGCTCTAACTACCATATAGTTTTATGATTTGGATTGGTCGTTTATATTCTCTTCATCAAGAATTGTTAATTTGGTAAGGCCTATAAATATTTTATTATTATCCATTCTAAATTGTCAATGTAAGTTGCTAAGAATTATATAGCCTTATGTGGTTTTTAAAAAACATTATCAATTGAGGCATATGCATGAATTAGTTAACCTTTTTTATCATTGTAATTCTTTAGATACAAATTTTTTTTATATCAACCATCGAAAATATTTTGTACTGTAATAAATAGATTTTGTGTAAAAAAATATTATTTTTAAATATGTCTTGTATTGTTTTAATTATTTAAATGTTAGTTTATTTTGTATGCAAATATAATAAATGACAAAATATGAAATTCAGAATAATTGTTTAGAGTTAGCAAAGTTAAAAAAAGTATAATATATTTAAAACACGGCCGAAGGCCGGTAAGGGCGAAGGCCATCAAATTGGCAGTAGGGGGCTTCGCTCCCCATAGAAATTTTTTAGTTGAGCTCAGTGGCGTCGCTAGGGGGGGGGGCGCGCATAGGCTCGAGCCACCTGAAAAATTTGAATAGCCCCCTGAAGTAAAAAAATTTTTTTTTAATGGCTCCTTAATATCTCCTCTCCTTGAGCTAAAAAAAAATTTTTTAATTGCCCTCTGAATAATTTCTTTTATAATTCTATTGATAATATATAGATTTAGACTATCTTTTTTATTAATGAATACTATTTTAATTATTAGATTAGATTATTACATATAAATTGTACTATGTCAGCTTGCAATCAAATTCTATGTTAAAAATATAACAATATAACTCACTAAATATTAATTTAGAACAGTTGAAGCTTAATTGACTTTTATTATTTAAATTATTATATAACCCTAATAAATATAATCATTTATTAATTGAAAATTAATAATTTAATATTTTAGACGAGTTCAAAATCACTAATCAACTATATTATTGATTTTTAAATTTAATTATCATGTCTCTTCCTAAAATTATTTTCAAGGTCCAAATCCAAATAAGTATAAGAGATTTATTTATAAAAAGTATAAGACATATAGTAGTATATAATCCTCTATTATATATAATTTTTAATAAAATATTAGGTAAATGCCACTTTTACAGACGTATCTGACTGTTATATAATATATTACAGTTAATATTTTTAAAATTACTAATAAATGCTTTTGATAATAAATATAAGTAAAGATTTGCTTACAAATATTTAACGCATTTATTTAAAATATGATTAAAGTTAAACGTATTATTATTCATCCCATCCCACAATAGATGTAATAAATTTGATTATCTTTTCTTCTCTTTTTTACGTGTTTTTAGGAAAGCTATATTTTTCTTCTTCGAAAAATAGATTTGAGTGAAATCTTTGATACAAATATATTTTTGATATTATTACAAACAACTATTATTTTAAGATATAATATACCAACTAGAGATGGTGCGACAATAATATATAAAATCTTAATTGCTTTCATGATATTACTCTGGTTCTTATTTTGTAGTTACAAAATGTTTCATTTCTAATATGGCATACTTGACGTGTAAATAAATCAAGGCTTCAATATATTTGCATAATTTCTTCTAAAGGTTTTAATGTTGGCTATGTAATTTAAGTTGATTACTACAGCTGCTGAGAGTGATAGCATATGATCGCATATTTTAGATAAGCAATAGGTCTATAACATTGAAAATGGAAGATAATCTTTTAGAAATTTAATATCATACAATAATTTTCTCGATTACTTATCTAGCTTCCATCATGTCATCTAAAAGGAAGCTCTAATCACCATGTAGTTTTATAATTTGGATTGGTCGTTTATATTCTCTTCTTCAAGAATTGTAGATTTGGTAAGGTCTATAAATTTTTTCTTATTAGTCCATTCTATAAAACATTGTCTAAAATGGTAATAGGGAGTTATATTAGTTTCATGACCTTATGTCAATGTAAGTTGCTAAGAATTATAATATATTATGTAGTTTTCACAAACTATTATCAATTGAGGCATATATGAATTAATTAACCTTTTTTATCATTTATTATTCTTTAGACGCAAAATCATTTCATATCAACAATAGAAAATATTTTATACTCTAATAAATAGATTTTCTATAAAATATTATTTTTATATGCTAGTTTATTTTGTATGCAAAATATAATAAATGACATTCAGAATAATTATTTAGGGTTAGTAAATTTAAAAAAAAGTATAATATATTAATATAAAACACGGCCGAAGATCCGCAAATTGGAGGGTATTTTTTAGTTGAGCCTCCTGAGATTGTAATGGCTAGCGACGCCCCTGGTTGAGCTCCCTGAGATTGTAAAGGCTAACGATGCCCCTGACTCTTATATATTCATATTAAATTTGATTTATCATTTCTTTGAAAAACATACCAAAGCGTACGTTCAATCAACAATGAGATAATAACGGGTTGGATTACTTACCATAACGAGCACCGAACATTCATTAATTACAATTTTATTAATGATAAATTCTTTAAATCCCGATATTCAAAAATAAAAATAATTAATTTTTTAAAATTATTTTAATTATATGACATTATATATTTTTGTCTTATTTTATATTCCCTATAATTTTTTGGAATCTTAAGATTCATCTATTGCAGGCCTTAGATTATATTTGTTATTTATAAAAATAATTATACGTTTTACTATTTTTTTTATAGTTTTAAATCACTCATAATCAGTATTTATAAAAGTGATTTCTAATTTTCTTTCAGAATCTTCTTTATAATGATATAGGGGTGATAGCGGGTTTGTGGGAAGGTTATTAGCTTAAATTATATTAACAATAACAGAAAGACGGGGGGAGAAAAAATTTTCTCTTAACCCCCCCCCCCTACCCCTACCCAGATATGCCGATGGTTAAGTTTCTTAATATAAACTAAATTATCAAAAATATAATTCGTCTATATTATTTGTATTTAGTGGATGTTAAAATATATCAGCTGAAAATTTAAAATTGTGATTGCCATAATTTTTTTTAAAGCTTGATTAAACCGGCAAAATATTTATTACATTGTCGTCAAATGGATTTGCTACAGGTACAGATTATATATAGATTATTTATAATAATTACTATATATTTATTAGGTGAATATGGTGGATCCTTCTGAAATTTATCGCCCTGAAAAGATAAATATTGAAAAATTTCGAAATTATGATGTAAATCAATAATATATAACCTTTTTTTAAATATTATATTAAATTTGATAAATCAATTATGAAATTAAGATTTTTTAAATACTATAGTTTTTCGTAAATTTTTTTAAAAAAATATATAATCTTTGCACTTTATCACTACATTGCATCCTTCAAAACTTCTGTAAACTAGGGCCTTTAAAGTATTTTTAAAGGTATCTTAAATATCAAATTGCACTTTAATATGATACTTATGGAAGACTTTTATGTTATAATTTCCAATTTTTTTGCTTTTGTTGAAAATAATTTTCTATCTATATTTCAATTAATTTGAAAATAACCATCTTTTTATTTGTTTGAGGCATACAAACTTTAAAAAGCCAGAATAAATTTATTTTACTTAAAACCTATACAATTAAATAAAGTAGTAACCATTTTGTTTGAATTTGAAGGTGTAAATATAAAGGGGCAGAATTTGTTAAAATGAAATATAACAGATTAAACAGGGCCATTCTTATTATTATATTGCATATAAAATATTATTTATTCCATAGAAAATTTTACATCTCCCAAAACAAAACTCTTAGATATGCCACACTGGCTCATTTTTTTTATAAAAATATTTATATTCAAATTCCATGTATTATATTTTAAATTAGGGTTTGTTGCAGCTTGAGGGGCCATGCAAAAGGATTTTTAGGTTGAAAATATTTACAGGCTGGATAAAAGTTTTTGAATATGTTTTTAAGGCCAATAATTAGGCACATTTAAATTATTTTCCTCCATAGAAATTTATCGCAATAAGGGGCAAGAAAATGCCAGGTAAAAATAATTAGCCCAGACTAAAAAATAAGTTTTCCAGGGGTCAGTTTGGGCTGATTCGCCTCAACCTCTATTATGAATTTAAATGGTGTCTGGGCTTTTTGTGAATAACATGAGTTGCTTCTTAAAGGTTTATTCATATTTCAAATATATTTTAGCAATGTTTTAATAAAGATGTTCAAATTGACCCTTTAATTTTATTTTTTTTTAAAATTCAAATACTCCAAATCTAAATCGATTTAATATTTGATGTATAATATATAATTCAGTAAGCCCTGTCTAATTTAGGCTCACAATTTGCTAAGTTGACCAAAATTTTGAGTCCCAATCAAATTCCTTTTAACTACTATTAGAAAATAAAAGATTGAAATTGATTGGGCAAAAAAAATCTTGGCTCCAAGGTGCCCAAATTGGACAGTGTTTACACTATACATATATATATATATATTTGAAACCTGTAGCCGCGGCCGCCCAACCTGGGTACACTGGCCGGGGCGTATTTTAATCTTTTTAAATATACCCGGCCCTGTATATTTTGAAACCAAATATTTGAAATCGTCATTATTAGCTATTAAAAATCAAAAATAAATAAAAAAAATATATTTTTAAAAAATAAAGGCCGGGCCTGAAATTTTTTATTTAAAAAAAACCCGGCCGGGCCCGAAAAAAAATTTTTGAAAAAAAAAATCCGGGCCGGGTCGAAAAAATCCGAACCGGTTCGAAAAAATCCGGGCCGGGTCGTAGAAAATCCGGGCCGGTTCGAAAAAAATCCGGGCTAGGTCGAAAAAAATCCGGGCCGGGTCGTAGAAATGGCACCTCTGCAGGACTCTGATATATATATATATATAATTATATAACTATTATTTGACGAGATGATTAAAAATGTTTAATTTTTGAAGTTAAAAAAATTTTTTTTAACAATAGTTATTTTTGGCAATAATATTAAATTTAAAATATTTTAATTGTCAAAAAACGAATAAAAAAATAATATAATAATTTATACCTTTTAATAATAAAAATAAATGGAAAATTAAATTTGTAAACAAGAATTTTTGAACAGGAGCCAAAATCTTTCGTAAAATATTTCTGGGAAAATTGGAATTATAGATAGTCCAATTAATTCATTCACTCATTTTTGCACATAAAGGAACATCACGTGCCCCGCAGAATCTATTTATGATAAAAAGTCCAACTAAATTGACTCAATTGCGCTTGTTTCTTACATTTCGCAAATTTATATAAAATTATTTGAAATGTCGTGTCTACATTCATTTTTGAGGGTTTTTTTTTATTTATTGCCTAATTTTTTTTTATCAAGAACATAGAACGGAAACAGAACCTCGTTTGGCAGGGAATCTACAATCTCTTTTATCCCCGGTCTCCATTTCCTTTGGCCAACTTTTGTCAGTTAAAGTTTAAGATATCCATCTATAACCGATACAAAAAAAAAGTATCTGTTATTAGTGTATCTCTCTCTGGCCTTAACCTTTTCCCAGTCCGGTTTAACAGTCTCGAGCAAGTATAAATGATGAGTAGGTTAATTTCGGTTATCATTTCTCCTTGTGAGAGTTTTCGTTTCTATCCTCAATTTTTCTTTGGAGGTTCGGCTGATCCTTGGTTCGTAATATTTTTACTTTTTTTTTATAAAGGTAGAGGTTACGTATAAACGCCGTTGTTAATTAACCATATTTATATAATAAATTTGCACCTTTTACAGGTTGGGTTTGGACTTGGGGCAAATTTTTTGTTTGTATCTCTGGCCCCAGGTCTGTAATTAGGGATCAGCCGAGTTCTAAACAATCCGCCGAGGAAAAGGTTTTTTTTGGTCTGGCCCATAAAAAATATTTTGGACAAATTGTCCAACCTACCCCAAAAATATTTTCGGACCACAGCGTCTGTAGACAGATTTTTAGGGAAGTTTCTATCTTTAAAGAAAGAAAGATAGAACGAACGAACGAAAGAAAAAAAGATGGAAAGAAGAAAGAAATATTTTTTTTTAAAAAAAAATTATTTCTTTTTATATGAAAAAATGATAAGGTAGAAAATGGTTGCCCTCCTCACGTTAAAGCTACGTATTACAAGATGCATTCCTTGCAGACACTCGATTTTGTCAAAGAAATGGTATTAACTAATAACTAACAAAAAACACAAATTATTTTACTTATTTTTTATCTAATAAATTTTTCCTCATATTCCACCAGGAAAACCCGGAGACATAATTCTGGAATTAACCTTTGATAATTTTCCCGATTTAATTTTTTGAAAATAGAAACACTCCACTTCTTTCTTTTGAACCAATCAAAAAGGCCCTATTTTTTATATATATATATTTACCATCTATCTTTTAAATTTTTGAACCGATGTAATAAATACAAAAAAAAAAAAGAAGAAAATAACCTCTAAAACAATTTGTATATGAACTTGTAACTTCTTAACATAACATTTAAGGAATCCCTGGACTACAATATATATTCTAAAACAAAAACAATATTTATATATATAGTGTTGTGGATCTGGACCCCGGCTCTGTGCTCGGGGTACGTGCTCAGAGCCGGTTTAGTCGATTTTTAGATTCAAACTTCGGGGACAAAACCAACCAATTAACAACACTAAATACCAGAGTTGTTAAAGGATCTAGATACAAGTATCTAGATCCTGTATCTAGATATAAAAATGTGGTATCTCTATCTGTATCTAGATAGATTTTTGATTAAATAATCTGTATCTCGATATTAATTTAGACGTTGTATCTGTATCTAGATCCATTTAAAAAGTATCTTTTAACAACTCTGCTAAATACATTAGATGTTGCATATATTTTTATTCTTTTAGCTATCATTTTTTATAACATTTTGAAACTCGGCAACACATTTGTGAGGGAGGTTCCCTTTCTAAATCGCTAAAAAAAAACAAAAAAAAAAGAGTTGGGAATTTGGCTTATATCTTCTAGAAAAATTTTCTAAACTATATTTGAATAATTAAATCGAGTTTTTTTTTCTTCCAAAAATGGAGGGAAGGGGGGGAGGGTGGTCATCAATATTCCCAAAATGTTCCCAATTCAGGGAACAGCTGTTGACATTTCTTCCATTTAAGTGATTTTTTTTATATTAAATACAAAGCGTTCGTCCACTTTCCTAGAAATCTATTAATATTATTTTCAATATTACTTTTTTAAAAAAATTTTCTAGGGAGATTTAGGAGAGATTCTCAATTTTTAGCGATTTTAGGAACCTAATCTCGTTTAGGTTTATGATATGCAATTGTATTAGATAAAACTATGGGCCCGCGATTTTTTAAAATTAGGACACGGTGAAGCGATAGCTCGGCTGGCCTCTATCAGAATATTGTTCTTTTTTTTCCCCATGGATTCGTATCCAGGGTTGTTAACCTGGGAATATTTTTGGTAATTCCATGAAATATTCCCTTGAAATTTATTGAAAAAACAAAAGGAATGCTTCCCAAAATTCCCAATTTTTTTTAAAAAAAATCATTAAAAATAAGCAAACCCATTTGCAGTGTATATTTTGTTGTGCTGCAGACGGACTAAATTTATGCCCAAGTTAGCATAATAGAAGTCTTCCGAGTCTTCTGCCTTCTTATAGATATAATTCAATAATTAATTTATTATACGGCAACAATTTTATTTATTTTAGCGAATAGCGATAAAAATTGCTTTAAATGTTCGAACCGAACCCGTTGTTTATATTTGAACCCAAACTCGAACCGATATTCGTTACGGTTTCTATATCGGTTATTTTTTCCGTTTAAACATCTTTTAAACATAATCATAATATCTAAAAAAAAATATATATTTAGTTGTATTTTAATGTATTACGTCTATAGCACAAAAAATGGCTCAAATTCGACAAAATACAGCTGACATTAATGGAGGCCTTGGAGCTCATGAATAAAATCGTGGACCAAAGTGACCCCGATGTAAATAAAATTTAAAAAAATTTTGACAAAATATAAAATTGTCATTTTTTTTTCGAGGAGGTAAAATTAAAATAATGATTGACATTTTATGAGCAATTAATTATCTTTATTTATCTTCTAAATATTAAATATCACATTATTTAATTTTTTTTTTTATAGGAAAACAAAAAAAAGACGTTTTTTTTGCGTTTACAAATTTTTAATACATTTTTTAAAAATAATGAAATCTTTCCCGGATATAATTTTTCTTTTTCTTTTCAGCCAGATCACATAACCGGATCTTAATTTTCCAGCTGGGAGGGGAGAGGGAGGAAGAGAGGATACAAAAATTAATAACAGGATACCAAATTTTTTATTTAATTATCTGATCGGGTCCGAATTTTTTAATAAAAAATAGCCTGATACCAATTTTAACTATCCGGCCGGGTCGGGTACAAAAACCGGCAATTTTAATAGAACCCGAATCTCGCTCCCGGATTTATACATCTCCAATTATACCGTTTTTTTTTAAAAAAAAAGACTTCGCTACCGAATATAATTCATTCGTTTCAAACTGCCGAAAGAATCAGGAAAGGATATCCGGATTTAGGTTGTTTTTCAAAAATATCGATCCGCAACATATGTTTTTTAAAACGTTTTTCATCTAAACGCCCCATATATAACCGGCTCTGCTTTCGTAAATAACGCGCCGCTACATTAGTCCCTAAGCGATATTTTATAAATTTATCTCGTAATTGAACTGTTGAGTTTGATGATTATTATTTATTTTTTTTATTAAAAAAAAATTAAAACTGAATATATGTAGTTAGTTTTCTGAATTATTATGGAAATTATTTGAAATTAGCAAAGTTCAATTTTTGCCAGAGTTGTTAAAAGATACTTTTTAAATGGATCTAGATACAGATACATCGTCTAAAAATAATATCTAGATACAGATATTTTAATAAAAAATCTATCTAGATACAGATACCACATTTTTATATCTAGATACAGGATCTAGATACTTGTATCTAGATCCTTTAATAACTCTGATTTTTGCCTTACATTATATACCTTTTTCTATATAATATATATGCCCATTCATATGCCATTATAAAGCTATTCGGATCTGTTTGAAAAAATTTTAATTTAAAATAAATATTTGTATTAATTTAATTTAATTTTAAATAAAATAAAATTAGATTGGTTCCATCTCACGGGTCTAATTCATGACCTCGGCAAAATAATGGCATTTTATGGCGAACATCAATGGTGCGTTGTGGGTGACACCTATCCCTTGGGTTGCTCTCCCTCTCCCGACATCGTATTTGGGCCGAAAAGTTTTTCTTCGAATTCCGATTTTCGCGATCCTCTATACAAGTTTCCTCTCCCTCACTTTCAAATGACATTGATACTAATCTATACTTAACCTGTCACTCATATCATTGAAAGGCGTTTAGACAAAAGCTTGAACGACATTTAGACCAAAAGTCAATCAACGGCGTCTTCTACAGCCAATCAAATATGTTGGTGTCAACGTGTTTTTTTTGAGCGCCATTTTTTAAAATTTAAAAAATCCGATTTCACCGGAAATACATGCCGTCATGATGTTTGGAATACAATTTTTCCATATATTTTTTTTTTAAATATAAATTATATATGATTCATAGGTCAACAGCAAAATTATTCACAATTCATAGGAACAGGCACAGGTGTTCCAAACATGACAGAATACATTTCCGATAAAATTCGATCTTTTAAAATTTTTTTAAAAAAAAAACCACACTTCAATAAATGATTGAGAGTTGTTAAAATTAACACCATGCCGAAAGAAAAAACGCCTTGATGCTAACATGTATAGTTTTTATTTAATACGTGAAACATAACTAACTAGTATCGTTAAACTACGCTATCTTTACTCAACTATAAAACAGCGCAGCCATATTTTTATCCAGAAATATTCTAGTCAATCTTAGAGTTAAGACTCAACTTTGAAGTTTAATTCAATATTTTAGTCTAAAGGCCTGAATAAGACACAATAGAAATGGTCAAAGTTAGATAATTTAACAAACACTAAATAACTACGTTAATATTAATGCTATCGTTTCACTTCAGTAATATAGATTATTTTTTTTAAATTTTATATAATAAGCTCTAAATACGGTATATACAATCCTCATTGCGGATTAGATAATCTTATTATGTCATGGGGTCACGATGGTAAAAATAAAGAAATATATATTGACACCTATTTTCTAAGCTCTGTCCTATAGAAATTTTTTTTTTAACATAAGAATTATAAATATATATTTTGGAGTAAACGAAAATGGTCATATGTATATATACATTTCGTATATATTGGTCATCTATTACCAACCACCCCCTTCTCCCCTTAACACTCAGGTTAGTTATGTTTTTTTTACCATAAGATGAATTCTATCATTTAATTTATTGTTATAGTTTTTTTTATTTTTGTGGAATAATTTTTATATCGCAAATCGTATTCATTATATATTATTTCGCGATTCTAAATTGACTTGGGAACACAAAAATACATATTCAAAATAACTTAAAATTTTAAATTTAGTGCATTTGTCATTTTGCGACGATTAATTACACTTATATAAAAAAAAAAAAATTTCTTAAATTAAATTTGAAAAATAACGTTTAAAAATGACGTTCACGTTTTTTGAAAATAACCTAGGGTTGGGCAAATTTTAAGAAAATTGTATTCGGATACAGATACTTTATAAAATTTTGTATTTAAGATACAAGATACTAGATACTTTAGAAAAATTTCAATAAGATATGAGATACAAGATACTTGTATTTTTTTTAAAGTATCTAAGATACAAGATACTTTTTTAAAAAACTTTAAATAGTCAAAATCAAAATGTATAAAGCTTTATTTTCTTATCTATAATATAAATTTATAAAAAAATATTGAAAATAAATTGTAGAAAATAACAAATTTATTATAAAAGAAAATGCGATATTCCATTTAATAATTATATAATTAGTAAATAATAATAATCAGCATTATTTTTTAATATTATTAATTTTTCAAATGATTTATCGTTCTATCTTTGACGATTTGGTCTATTAACCATATTAGCAAAGCTAAATAATCTTTCAACGGGGGCTGAAGAGGGTAATATTGTGTTATATTTAATAAATATTTCTTTTATATATTTATAACTATTTAACATATTTATACTCCACCTGTCATCTTTCATATAATTTAGGACCTCAATTTCAATATCATTTATTTAATTATTAGAATTGGATGTGGTACTTTTAAGGCAAAAGTAATCATCATCTTCATCAATTGAAGATTTTGTTGAAGTATTAATTTCAATATTATTTTTAAAAACAATTAAAACTTCATGTAATAACAAATCCTGAAGGTATTTTTTTTTCTTTTTCACCATCAATCCAACGATTTTTAAAATAGGGATGATGAGAATAGTTGCCAAAAATGCACTTTTAAAATTGTTATCAAAATCATATATATTTTTAAATCTTTTATTTAAATAATTTTCTATGGCAATAGCTAATGGTTTGCAAAATTGTAGAATGGTTTGAATTAAATTTGTAATTTTTTTTTAACGACATTTAAAATTGGAGCTGATTCTCCATAATAGCAGTTGATTTCACTCTGTATTTTGTCAATCGCTATAGCCAATGGGGCCATTATATTGCAATATTCTTCTAAATATTGAATTTCAATATCTCTTAATTTAGGAAATTCTAATTTTTGACATAATTTAGGAAGTTCGCCTTTAAATTTTAATAAACTATGAAGACTATCATACAAACTATTCCATCTAGTGCAACAAGGTGTAACTAATTGTTTTCCTAAAACTGCTTTGATAAGTTCTGCAGTTTTAGGCCTATTATTTGCATTCCATAGCTTAGCATTTAGCTATTGCAGGATGATGAATTTTAGAAATGTTAGGAGAATCCTAGCTCTCTCGACATCTGTTGTGGCAATTAGACTTATCGTATGGCACAAACAACGAATGTGTTGAGGCAATGTTATTGAGGCTTCTTTAGACCCTTAAATAAACAAATAAATAATTTTATATGAATAAAATTTTTTACTAAATTTACAATATCATATTAAATTTTAAAGAAGTATTAAATAATACTTTGAATGATTTCGAATTCTATACATTCATCATCATTGATGTCAAAGTCATTCTCTACAGCTTCCATAGAATATCCAAACTCCTTGAAAGCTTTCTTAAAGTTAGAGCCGTTATCTGTAACAGTTGCTATAACTTTTTCGTCAATACCAAAGTCACGATGAATTTCTTTATTATGATCATCTTGAAGTACTTCAAAAAATTTGTCATTAAGTATGCTTAGTTTAAGATACAAATATCCGCGATACTGCCCAACCCTGAAATAACCTAAGTATCTTTTAAATACCGAATTGATTTTTTTTGGGGGTGAATGGTGTCACAAAGTATGCGATCCAATTTAAATTTATTTGTATTAAAAAGTAAATCCATACCTGAATATTTTAATACGAATTTGACAATCAACTCGCGCATTTTTTGGTTTATACAATCAAAATTCGATTTGCAATAAGAGATCTTCATGGGCCTTAATTTATTGACCAATTCCATCCCAGGCCAGCAGTAAAAAATTTTTTTTAGCCACCTATCTAATGTTGAAAGAAATTCAAGCCCATGATAAGTTTCAAAAAAATTTCACGAACCTGGCCCAACCGCATATCCAAAAATTTAATCTTTTTTTTTTTTATTTAATGAAAATAATATACAACGTTAAAATATATTTAGGCGATCATTTTGTTTTACAATACTGAAATTTATTATTAGTAGAAGAAAAAAAAGGCAATATTTCTTTAAATTAGCAACTGTTTTAATTAATTTTAGGCCCAAAGCCCAGCCCATTAAAAAAATTTTAAAATCCAGGCTCGGCCCAGGCCCACTAGAAAATGTAATATTAGCCCTATACCCGGCCGATGGGCTAGCCCGATCCATGAAGGTCTTTTCTTAAAATTATATGTTATAACTGTTTATATATTAAAATTGCGTACCTTACAAAGTTGGGAAAATTCCCCAAATTATAATGTCATGGGAATACGCGGCTTCTGGGTGTGGGTCTAATTACTATTTTAGAAATGGCTCTTGCCATCTGGCCCCAAATTTATCCCCCCCCCCCCAACTCCCCACTTTCCTCGAGATTAAGTTGAATCTTGGGTTAACATATCGTTTATCGCCCCTTTTTTAGAATCGGTTAAAAAATAATTTTTTTTATTAAAATAAAATAATCAAGAATACATGTACCAATTTCTCAAATATAATCAAAACACTCTACCTCAATTAGCTCTCGATATCGTGAGGTAATATTTAAACAATAATTTAAAATTTCAAAACAAATTATTTTATTTATTTTTTGTTGTTTATCGAATTTGATTAAAGGTTTCATTCCTTCTACCCCTGGCACAGCGCTGGTCAGTATTACCACCTGTGCAATGAAAGCCCGGATTTGGCGGTAACTCTTCCCTTCGTCCAAACTTTCAATCGCTTCGACTTGTACACTAAATCCGACAATCCCCGAGACATACCCGACCTGGAAAGTCTTAAACCTTATTACGGTAGTATAATCGCCAAATACTTCGAGGACGCCGATAGGAAATTATTTTTTTGATCTGACATATCCTTCCATAAAAATTTTAAAAAGATTTAATTTATTTAAAAATTAAAATATTATTTTTTTAAAGAATTTTTTATATTTTAATATATTCACAATTACCAAAAAAAATATTTATTTTTTTTAACCCTCTATTCTCAATGCAAAAATATTCGATATTATTTATCAAATTGTATTTTTTTTTTAAATTCAAATGCAAAAAAAAATAACAATGAATATTTATAAATATATATGTATATATAATAATAATCTTTATTTTACTTTTAAATCAACCGTCAAATAAGTAATATTTGCTCACACTTTTATTTATACATTTCATTATATTTTTTTTTGATAGGGATGTAATATAATTCAATATAATAAATCGATATAATCTAACATATTTTATTTACACGAAAATTGTTTATGAATATAAAAAATGCGAATAAATAAAAAAAATTTTTTTTAATAAAATGGCGACATTTTTCACATCTTTAAATCCGGTTTCTCGCCAGTATTTCGCTCTTATTGACGTATTCCATTAATTTGGTTTCTAATGTAGAGTGGAGCTTTATATATAACGTTTTTAGAAAAAAAAATATAATTTTTTAAATATTTATAAATTATTAGCTAAAATATCGGTAACGGATTTGAACGTTATATAATGGGACCTGAAGTGAAACTTAATTAAGTTTTAAAAAACCGGATGAGAACCGGTTTCGGATTTCAACCGGTTTCCCGGTTCTAATAAATACTTTGTAAAATATAGAAAGGTTGAAAACATTTTCGTAATAATCGTAGGTGTCCAGCCGGGACAAATCGTTGTCATTGATGACATTATCGAGACGAGTCTTCAGCAAGTGAAGCAGGAATTGGATGGGTTGCAAAGAGATGTATGCTGGGCATAACGAATCCACCTTTAAAATAAGAATATTTGGGACTATCATTATATCGTCGCCTGAAAATTAGATTACTCCATCTCCACTTTTTGTAATTTTACAGGAGGAGCAATAATAAAATTCAAATGCTTAAATTAAATATTTATAAATACTAACCTTCTTGCTGTCAGTCTTTGGTTCATTCAGTACTCCTAATTTTGAGTCTAACATCAATAAAGCTGTCTGATAAGATTCGTCGAACTTCTGATATATCAAGAAATGCCTTAACAATTCTGGCAACGATTCGGGGGTTAACTTGACACCAAAAAATAGTTTTATAATCATTTAAACACATATGAAAATTAATAGGAGTTGATGATCGAAGGCTAATTCAAACTAGTGTTGTTAAACGGTTCATTTTGAGCCGATTTTTCAACGCGGCTATCTCAATATTTTACCCAGAAAAACAGAGTACAAGTCTCGAGATTTCGATGATATATGTGTCTAGACCTTTGTTCCTTCTGGAAGCAAAATCTTCGGGCTTGCGCAAAATTTTACAGGATAAAATATTGAGAAGAGCTGTTAGAAATGTTTAAATATGGTTCGCACTTTAAAAGCATTAGAGCGTTGTTGCTCGGTCCAAAATAAACAATAGGGAATCTATATATAAGGCACAGTACACATTCACAGGCCTAACTTACCCCGAAATTATATTAAAAAAAATGGGCGTCTCAGAATTTTTAAACTTTTGTCACTTAAACCCCGCGAGATCTCAAAAAATATCCTGAAATTAGTTGAGAGAAATCGCGGGGGAAAAAAAGGGAACAAGCTTACTTTGTAACTTTGAATCAACCATATTGGTAAGGGTACGTTCATGGACACTACCGCTCTACCAAAGCTTTTCCTGGCAACTTTGAAAAAGGTGGATGTAGCATCGGAGTCATAAAAAGTTTCTAAATGCCGTCTAGCTATATTCCACGCCTTTTGGCTTTTAAAAAAAAATAAGACAATTTTACAAAACTCTTCTAAAGGCACACACGCGACTATTATTTATATTGTTAACAATCTTAAAAAAGAAAATTAGCCGATCGTTTTTAAATAATTGGTGGATGAATGGGGTTTAAATTCCTTTTGCTAAATAAAAAAGACAAACTTTTATTCGAAACTAATCTGCAAAGCCTCTCTTCGTTCATTCATTTTTTTTATATCTTTACTACTACCAAAAAATGATTAATTTTGATTTACTCGTAATTTTTGGTGGGCATCAAAGAACGCGACTCTTCCGCCGTGGAATCCGTTAACCAATTCCATTGATAATTCCGACCCAATAAATTTCTTCATTACAAAATATCGATATATTATTATAAATTTAATCGGACAGGAACGAAAACTGAAAAAAAGCTTATATCCCTTTTTTAGAGAATATATTAATACTAGTGCTGTAAAGTAACATCGTTACTAAAGGAGTAACGGTGTTAATCACTTTTGAGGAAAAGGAACACAATTCGTTACTTTTTGAGTATACTTTAATTTTTTTTTAAGTTTTATTCTTTATTATATATATATTTTTTAAAAATTTTATAAATAATTTAAACCGAGTTTTTAATTCAGAACAACCATCAAAGGTTCTTCCTTTTAATTTTATTTATTACATATTTTTTTTTGTTATTGAATTTCATTCAATCAAGTGATTTTTAATCTAATTAATAGTGGAATCAATCAAGTTATATTAATTTATATTTCCCTAATATCATTTATTATTTCCTTCAAACGAAGATGATTTAACTCTGACTTGGCCCTAGCATGAAACATTTTTTTTACATCAATGAAGAAAATTAAGGGCGCTAAGACCACACTTTGTAAGAATAGATTGTGTCCTAAATCAAATATTCCAACCTCGATGTCCAGCAGTACAAATCTAAAAATATGAATTCAGATATAATTCTGACAAATATTTTTTTAAAAAAACATTGATAAATATTCTTGAGAAGATGATCTAATAAGTATTTTTATATTTTTTTGAAAATAAAGATCATTTTTTAAATATTTTTAATTCCCCAAAATTAAAATTTTTATTATTTTAATATAATTACAAACCCATCGCGAAAGCTATGTTAAGCACTAAGCGCTCTTGTTTATCTGATCAAAATTTTGAAAATCAATCATTTAAAAAATTGATTTTAAAAAGGATCTTATCTTGTAATATATTAATTTTTGTATAGTTTTTATTTTTATTATCTATGGGAGAAAAAATAAATAAAAAGAAAATTTATATATAATATTTAGCATTTTTTAAATACTAATAGTAAACGCGTCACTTTTGCGTAAAGTAAAGGTAACGCGTTTTTTCTTTTTTCAAAAGTAACGAGTATCTCGTTTTCTTTTTCGAAGTATAACGTTTACAGCACTGTCAGTCAAATTTGATTAGCATTTATTTTAATATAAATCATCAGCTGTAAACAAGTAAAAAAAAAACCATTAAAATTCGTTTATTTTGACCCCCATTGCTATCAAAAATAAACATTCTTTTTAAAATACTTTTAACCACACCTGACTTTAACAAGGGATCCTTCGTTGATTTCTAAAATGCTGCACACTTTAGCCAAATTTTCGAAGAACGTTTCCAACAGTGTGTAAATGATTTCGTTGGGGGACGGTTTGGTCTGGATCAGGTTGGATATCAAGGCGAAGGCGTCCTTGAATGAGCCGGAGACGCAAAGAGAATCGCAAACTCCGTTTATCGTAACGGTCACCGATGTCGCCCCATTTATCGGTGGGAAACCGATAATGTGATCCGTGAATAGCTCGATAGTTTGCGAGGCATTGTTGCGCTTAGGATTGACGATCTCCAATTTTAAGAGCGAGCTGACTAACAAGTAGAACGTCATGATGTCGCGGTAATCCAGGGGTTTAGTCGCGGAAGATACGGCTAATTATTGGAAATTGGGAAGTAAAATTAAATATTAAAAGCGATTTTATTATATATATTTAAAATATACCCTTTTCATCTATCGCATCCTCCGTCTCTCTCAGATTAGAATCCATTAGTTCCACCAATTTGTCGTCACGAATCTTTTCGTTTTTTTGTATCACTACAGGCACAAATTTTATGCGAGGATCTATGTTCACGCCGTTCACGACTGTCAATAAAGCTCTGGCCATGACCTGAGCGACGCTAATAAAAACCGGGTAATAGTCATCAAAGCTGGAAGACGTGTTGATGACATTTTTAACGAGATTTCCGCACTTTAGAGCCAACTCCATCATTATCGATAAAGCTTTAAAATTTTGAAAATATTTTAATTGGAAGGAAAAGAAATAAGGAATGGAGGCAAAAATTGAAGAAAAAAAAGGAGATGGATGGGGAGTGAGTAGGAAGTAAATCTTAAAGTGTTGTCCTCCAAATTATTATCTTTTTTCCTCTTGGAGTTTTGTGATAAATACGAATATATTATCATGAAGGGACTCATAAATGCTCATGTGGACCCAAACCGAACACGGGGAGAGTGAGCTTACTTATTCCTTTTTATAAACGACCATCATTTTCTTAATATCATACGCATGCGTCACATATACTAAATATGCTATGTATGAAAAATTATTTTCGATAAATCAGATAGTAACAGACTTTTTCAAAAAAAAAATATGTATATTAATAAAATTTTGGGATAAGATACCAGATGTTAGATCACCATGATCCACGTAAAAGGCGTACAAAAAATTATGACCGCTCTCATTAATGACTTCTTCGATTTCCTGGATACTCATCGTAGAAGAACCATTCGAGTAACTGTCGATGGAGTATTGGCGATTATCGACGCAGAGCTTCAGGATATCCGTCGCTTCTTGGTACAAGTCGTCGTACTCTATCCTCGCGATAACTTCCAAAACATTTTTGGCGTACAGGGTGTTGAGGAAGACTCGAAGACAATCTACTCTCCTTGTGTAATTTAAAAAAAAAATAGCAATCGATTATTAAATGATACTATGCATGAGGCGATCAAACGCATGTTAACTCTCCTCCCATAGCGTGGCGCCATTGATTATATATATTATAGAAGAGTATCATTTTTCAAACTTGATGTGATTACTTCACAACTTCATAATACCATATGAGGTAAAAGAAAATGGCGAAATATAATTCTTAAAAAAGATACAAGTATGAAAATATCGATTTCCGGTTAAGTGAAATAGACGCTCACGTAGGGTAATCCGTGTGCCTTTGGATAGCAGCGAAAGCCGAGTTGAAATCTTTCTCTTCCATAGAATACTTGAATTTAGTGGACCATAATTTGTGACTGACTTGATTTAGGTATTCAATTAAACCATCTCTGTCTGTGTGATTTGGGGAGATTTTAGCTAGAATGTCATTGCAGGCGTCTAATTGCACGATCATATGCTGTAGGAGTCTCATAATTTCCTTCGAGAGTTTTAGAATGTCATAAACGCCTATCAGCTGTTTTTTGTTGTTAAAATAAAAAGATGGCATTAACCAATAATCGAACTTCAAAAACTTTTTAAAATATTTCGAGCATTTGACAAATTAAAACATTAATCGTCTGCATACTAATTGTATTAATTCTGATTTAACTTCCACGATTTCAAAGTAACATATGCGAATTTAATAATATATTATATTTTGTTGAATGTTTAATTTATCCAACGCTAGAACGTTCCAAAATATACTATGCATGCCCGTAGACAGAGTAAGGGCCGCGTTCATAGTAAGAAAATATAGCGATGTCGTTTCAAGCGATGCAGAATTTACAAAATACATGTTAAATCTATGCTATCGTTTGGCGGTGAATTCCGCATTGTATTTCGTTCTTTACTATAAACGAGGCCTGAGAGCTGGCGATGGCGCGTTTCAAGTTAAGCGCGAAAATAGCGTGAAATCGTACCGAGCTGCTAAGATTACTAAATACACACTGTTAAATTTTCTAGATGTGCTATCGTTTAGCCATAATTAAGGCTTGGCTTGTTCGACACCGCGATTACAATAAACGAGGTCATTTTTGGGGGTGGGCGATTAAATTGATACCTAATATCTATTTTTAAAACATTTAGTAAATATTACAAAATAACTTTAAAAAAGTAGCGTAGCCGATATACGATATTCAATATTTTTCCGATTCCGCCTTCCTCCCGAACCTCATCCGGATTGCGCGTCGTAGGAATAGTAGGAATGGGATCGAAAATACCTAAATTCCGGAAAAAAGGATCGTTTCCGGGAATATCGTAGGAGATTCGAAGAAATATCTTTCTGGCTAACTCCAAATCTTCGAAACGTCCCGAGTCGGGAGGTGTTTGTGATACGCTATACTTGTTAAGTAAGCCTAGAGCCTGGAAAAAGTCGAGGAAGTTCCCAATTTTATGAGTATCGTTAAGGGAGGCTTCCTTGATTACACTGACTTGGCCGTTAAAAAAATGAGCATCTTGGCGGGAATTTAGGAACGGTTTCACGAGTTCGATGTACGTTATCAGAGTTTTAAATTGGCACTTCGCGAAAAGGTAAAACACGATGTCGTAAACGTTCGATTCCAAATGACGAGCATGAGAGCTCGTCGTCGGTGACGTGAATTTGGAGGTGTCACAGGGCCATCTCCAAAAAAAAATAAGAAAATAACCGTTTAACATCACGTGATTAAAATATAAAATAATCATCATTTTAACATAGAAATTATAATCCTTAAACAAGTGGATGTATGAATTAGAGAGTCTGCAAAAGTAGGCTCCAGTGTGTTAATGATGAAATCAATATCCCATCAAAATAACAGGACATTATCGTATCCTATATGGATTCCAACATTTTTAAGAAAACTATATCAATGTATTTTATATGTTTTTTTTTCAACTTTATTGTTATATCAGATAGCGGTAAAACACTACTTTAAACGTTACACACAATACAATTTGTTCCATTTAAGGAAACTATGGTTTACCAATAAATATTTTTACCGCGAATGTTGTTAATCGCGATTAAAATTTTATGGCGAAAGTTTTTTATCGAGAATCCACATTAGCGAATAGAGTTAAAGCCGACTTCTTAATTTGGCGGACTAATTGTGTCGACTTAATTTCGCGGATTTACTCGTAATTGTATTTCTATCACATATTATCTTTTTATTTATTTTATAATTTTAGTAATTTGTTTGTTTATTTTGGGCGCCTGAAAAAAAAAACAGAGATAAAGAAATTTCTTCCTTCCTTTTTTTTTTACATATATCTGAGGATTCGATTTTGTAGAATCTGGATATGGTCGGCCTCGTGGTCCTCTTGCGAATTTTCGATGTCGATATTCGAATGGGCCAGAATTTGTTGTTTTAGTGTTTTATTCAAATCGAAAAGAACGGTTTCGTTCGGCGAAGCTTTTTAAAAAAATTGAAAATTTATATAGCAAATTTGATGCATTTCCGCTCAAATTTGGAAGGTTTTTTTTCTATATAATAATTAAAAAGATAGCTCAAATTAGCGATATCATGCCGACTTTTCTAAAATATCTTTTAGAAGCGGGATTTAACAAAAAATCTATGAGCATTTAAAAATTTTAAGATCACCAAAAATCACAAATAAAATTAAAGGCAAAATTTTGATCCAATCAAAAAAAAAAATTTCCCCCCCCCCCCATCCCCTTCCCCATTCCAAGATTACCCAAACTGGTTACTGTTGTGATTTTGTACGTTTAAGTTATATATTTATACATATATATATATAATTTATATATGAAATGTCAGTTAACTTTCACGTTATATGTATTTATACATATATATAATTTTATATACAAAATGTCAATCAAAAGGAAATTTTATTGATAATGTTTTTTCCTTGGGGAAAAAATATATTATTGTCTTTGTTGAAGAATAATTTTTATTGTCTTTGTCTTGATGTAAAATATGAAATAATAAAATCATTGATGGTTCTAAAAACTAAAAGTTTAATTTATTTGATTATTAATTTGCTATGTTTTGTATATATCAATGGAGTATGTAATACTTTTAATTACATATATAAAAGTTACAAATTCCAAAAGGTATAAAATTGTAAAGAAAAAAAAAATTGAAAATTTTTTATTTTACCAGAATCTTCGTGGTCAGAGATGGAACATATGGAGTCGATTTTCAGTAATTCTAATTGTTGCTTCGCGAGGTTCCTTAGCATTATTGATTTTTTTATTAAATATAATTATTTAAATCATCGTTCATAAATTCGAAAAATTATTGGAAAGAAGGGGGGGGGGGTAATTATCAGTGTTATGTTTTAAAAGAAAATCTGTATGGCACAAAGTGAGCGAAAGCATTCCTAGTTTAAATTGAGGTTGTCTATTTTATTAATATCGTCGATTGATTCAAAATTTTTAAAAAAAGTGATTTTTTGAAAATTATATTATCGTCTGCCTTCTTATTTCTTTTAATTTTCTAAATATTCTAATTTTTTTTTTAGGATTATAAGTAAGAGTTATTTATATTACATTACATTTTTATATAATATTACCAGAGTTGTTAAAAGATACTTTTTAAATGGATCTGGATAGAGATACATCGTCTAAAACAATATCTAGATACAGACATTTTAATCAAAAATCTATCTAGATACAGGTACAGATACCACATTTTTATATCTAGATACAGGATCTAGATACTTGTATCTAGATCCTTTAACAACTCTGAATATTACAAATACGAAGAATAAAAAAAAACTATTTTTTTTTAAATGGTTGCTAACGTCAAACGGTAATTTTACCATGATGGCCATTCGAAAGGCATTATTGGCGCTTGCAATGCAGCGTTTGAAACGCTCAATTTATGCGCGTTATAAAAAGAAAGAAAGAGAAGAAAGAAAGTAAAGAAAGAAAGAAAGTGAAGAAAGAAATAAAAAGAGATTTGTCAAGTAGAGATCAAAACCTTGTTGCCATCTATGAGGAAAATCTCCCAAGTTTACATAGTATAATTTTGGCTAAAATGCCGTTTTTATAAATCGACCAGAGTCGAACTTTTTAACAACACTATACGCTACCCGTTACCTTTTTATTAATAAAAAAAAATTTAGATTTATAATGTTAAAATCAAAAATGACATGTTAACACTGTCGATCATAAAAACATATGATAATCATCATGATATAATCTAAATAGAATGTAATCCAACCTCATAGGATTTTCCATCTTACGCTTATCATTCTTTTCAATTTAAATTATATTATGATGATTATCATATGTTTTTATGATTGTCAGCGATAACATGTTTTTGTTTGTTTTGTGGAATAAATGATTAGATAAATAAAGATTACTTTAATAGCGACGATGGATTTTATGAATAAAGAAGAAAAAAACCAACTATTCTAATTGGTAAAAAGTGATGAATCTAACATTTTAATTAATAAGAGTGGTGAAATGAAATTTTTAAGTGACACGAATAATGACAATCTAAAATTTGAAAATTTTGATAGACAACACAATTTTCAAGACTATATTGAATATATAGATGATGTGTGTTGGAGGTAAGAGGGCTAATTAGTAAATAAAGAAACCCACATTTAAAAAAAATATTATTTGCATACATGGGGATTAGCAATTTGGCAGGAATGAGGTCATTTATAGTTCCAAGAATCAAAAGGAACTTAATTATGATGAAATAGTTAAAAATGGTAAGGTAGTGTTTAAACCCATTTAAACTTTGTTTAGTTCTAGGATGGAAGGGAAGGCGAGGCAGTTGCTGAGTTTACAGATCGACTTAAAGGGTTGGCACGTGAGTGTAAGTTCGAATGTGACCTTGGTGGGAGAAATTAAAATGGCTGCATTGGAGAAAATTATTCGCATCAGATTTCCAGATGGAATAAATGACCTGGGAGAAAAGGCGAACTTTCAACAAGTTTCAGCAATGGAAAGAGCTGAGAATGAAGTTATAAATATGGAAGTAAAAAACAGATCCTAAGTAGCAAATGGAGAATAATCAAGTAAATCCTTTTAATCCACGCACAACGTCAAAGAAAATTTTAATTATTACAACAATAATAATAATAACAATTTTCAGTATAGAGATAAATAGTAAATTGAATAATAATGATATGGGTAAGAACAATGACTGTTCACGATGTGGAAGAACTGACACCTCATTTCCAATATTCTGCATCTAGGGTGAAATGTTGCAATTTCCAAAAAGTAGGGTACTCTTCAAAATACTGTAAGAGACGTGAGCCACATGTTATGCATCAAGATGATAATTAATCATCAGATTCAATTAGCAACATCTCTCAAATTGATAGAGTGCTAAGATATCCGGTTTGGATAAATGGAGTACCGATTGAATTTGATTATGATACGGGCCCACCGGTTATTGGAAAACGACATTGGGTTGGGATGAAATTGGCAGGCCAAAACTTGGACCAGCAAAACCATTGTCAGTTTACGGCAATCAACAGCTGGACGTCCTTAGTGAAACAATTGTAAGAGCGCAACTTGAAAATAGAGGCCGATCATTACCAATTGTGGTTACCCGTTCAGATGGCATACCCCTGTTTGGATTACCATGCTAATTCATCTAGAATCAAATTTTTATCTTGAACAATCTCCTTATAAATATTTAATAAGGCCAATGCATTTATACGTTTTTCACCGGTGGTATTTCTTAAATAGATTTTTAACCTTTTTAAAGTTGAAAAAGACCTTACATTAGTGCAGGTACTAATTGGTAAGGTAGCTAAAATAATCAATAATGTTTTGATAATAGGTAGGGAATTTAAAGTGGAAATACACATGGAAAGGGCCTGCAGAGCATTTTTTGATCTCAAAGAATACTCTATTCTGTCAAGATTTTTATATCAAAATCTGACATCACAAAGTAAATCATTAGCGTAAAACACTGATTTTCTTAATATACTCTCGTGTTTCATGTGTAATCAACAGTTTAGACTCAACCGGCTGAATTTATAATATAATATCTTTACAATATAAATTATATTATACCCCTTTTGTGTCCAAAAATTTCAAAAATCTTAAAAAATAACGCATATGACAATTGTCGCATTAAAAAAAAGTTTGACATAAATATTAATAAAAAAATAATTTAGAAAAACCACCTCTTTTAATATACTTAAAATATAGATATATTTTTAAAAAAAATTATTTAGAAAAAGAAAAACCACCTCTTTTAATATTCTTAAAATATAAATATATTTATTAAAAATAAAAGCTTTTTAAAATAAAATTGTGACTAATAAATATTACTTTTTATTGAAAAAAATGTATCAATAAGGGGAATAAAAATGAAAATTCCAATGCTGCAAATACAACATCCTTTCCTGATGAAAATTGAAACAAGTTACAAATGATAGGAAAATGACAATGATAATTTATTGATGCTATTATTTGGCCATAGAGGCAGGGTCTAGCACTAAGGGCAGATAAAGTATCCTTTAGTCCCTTAACAGCAATCTGTTCCAACAACAATGAAGGAAATTTTAAGGAGTTGTTAAAACTATTATGTGCTAATAATGAAACATGTACAAATCTTTTTGGCAACTCTCCCAAAAATGCGACTTATCTAAGTCCTTCAATACAAAATGTGCTATTTCAATATGCAATAAATTAATTTTAGGTGGAATTTCAGGAAAGGTGAAAACGGTACTTTTTTCTTTAGTTTTTTAGCTGATTGATAAGACTTCTGACGTGGCCAATATACAGCAACTACTGGAGTCAGAAGATTTTAAAATGAAGGGAACTGTTTGTTCAATTTATTTTATTTGCATGATACTAAATGGGAGACGATAGCGAACAGAAATTATATCGTCACTTCAAGACTTTTAGGGTTAAATTTAAACTCGATGAAAGGCCAAGGATATGATGGAGCTCCCTGGATGAGCGGTCATGTTGAGGGTTTGCAGTCAAGGATAGGAGAGCTTTACAGCACTGCCCTCTGTGTTCACTGTAGTTCACATTGCCTAAATTTAAAGATATCTTTAGACGCGTAAAATTCGGGACATCAGGAACAGTTTACGTAAAAGTATTTTAATTTAATTAGAATTTATAAGTTTTTTAATATTATTTATGTATGTTTAATGTACAATATCTTTAATAATTCTCATATATTTTACAAAAATTTAGAAAACAATATCTTTGCTTCGTAACTATTTCACACCTCCCATGAAAAGGGAGCTGTTTATTTAAACGTATCATGACACTGACTCAAAGAATCAAAAAAAAAGAAGAAACTAAAAAGATTTTGTCCGACTAGAGTCATTGAAAGACAAGATTAGGTGAAACTCTTTATCGATCTATATGATATTTGTATTTGCAGCACTGGAATTTCCATTTTTACTCCCCTCATTTATAACATTTTTATTTCGATTAAAGGGAAGATTTATTAGTCATAATTTTATTTTAAAGGTTGAGTCAAAACTGTTGATTACACTTGAAACACGGGAGGATATTAAGAAAATCTCAGATTTTTACGCTGATGATTTAGTATGCTCATATGATAAGTTACCTTGTGATGTGGGACTTTGGTATAAAAATCTTGACAGAATAGAGTATTCTTTGAGATCGAAAAATGCACTCCACACCCTTTCTATGTGTAATTGCACTTTAGATCCCCTGCCTAAAAACATTAATTATTTTAGCTAACTTACCAATTAGTATCTGCAAATAATGAAAGGTCTTGTTTCAACTTTAAACCTATTTAAGAAATACCACCGGTGAAAAACGTATAAATGCATTGGCCTTATTAAATATTTATAAGGAGATTGTTCAAGATAAAAATTTGATTCTAGTTGAATTAGCATGGTAGTCCAAACAGTGGTATGCCATTTTAACGGGTAACCACAATTGGTAAGGATCGGCCTATATATTCAAGTTGCACTCTTACAATAGTTCCACCAAGGACGTCCAGCTGTTGATTTCCGTAAACTGACAATGGTTTTGTTGGTTCAAGTTTTGGCCAGCCAATTTCATCCCAATATTGTTCTCCAATTACGGTAACCTGTGCGCCCGTATCATAATCAAATTCAATTGGTATTCTGTTTATCCTAACGGATATCTTAGAACTGTTTCTACCAATTAGGGAGATGTTGTTAATTGAATCTGATGATTCATTATCATCTTGATGCATAACATGTGGCTCACGTCCCTTACAGCATTTTGCATAGCGCTCTACCTGTTGGCAATTGTAACATTTCTCCTTTGATGCAAAACATTATGATGAGGTCTTCCACATCGTGAACAGTCATTGTTCTTATCCACATCATTATTGTTCAATTAACTAATATCTCCATACTTAAAATTGTTATTTTTCTTATTATTGTAATAATTAAAATTTCTTTTTACTTTAATATTATGTGGGTACTTTTGGATTAAAAGATTTACTGGATTATTCTCGAAATGATTAAAACAACTGCTTCGCCTTCTCCTCTTTCTATTCGAATAAATTTAATCCTAGAACTAAACAAAGTTGAAGTGGGTTTAAACACTGCCTTACCAATTTCAACTATTTCATCATAATAACTTTAAGAATCTTGGAAATATAAATGGCCTCATCTCTGCCAAACTACTAATCCCCATATATGCAAATAATATTTTTTTTCTTGGATTCTTTATTTATTAGTAATCCCTCTTATCTCCAAAACATCATCTATATTTATTTCAATAGAGTCTTGAAAATTGTTTCGTTTATCAAAATTATCATATCATATTCGAGTTAAATTTATTGATTCAAATTGTTTTTTTTTTACTTGATTACCATGTTTCACTTTAAAATATTCATTTTACCACCTCTTATTAATTAAAATGTTTGATACATCACGTTTTTACCAATTACAGTAGTCGATTTTTCTTCTATATTCGTAAAACCCTTCGTCGCCATCAAAGTATTCTTTATTGTGTAATCTTTCATTCCACAGTCGACTTAAAGTTCGTGGAAATAGGTACGTTTTTACAGAAAAACTTTGAACAGGAAAGCCGAGACACATATTTTAAAATTGGTATTCTGGAAAGTTCCATTGATATTTAGCTTTCTAAGATGGAGAATATCGTACTTTTGAATATATTATTACTTTGAATTCCTCGTGTCGGAGGACACCATAACGACGCCCGAGAACCAGGTCAAGTAAAAGAGGCGGGAGAGCGTAACGCTGATGGCGCAGGTGGCATCTTCTAACTCATTTCTCAGGGTATCGCTGTCAGAGACTTTAGAGATTTCGGTAAACTAATCATAATAATAAATATTTAAATCAATTCGATTTTATCCTAATTTTTATACTCATAAAATAAAAATAAAAAAGAAGGCTAAACCAAAATTATAGAAGACCTGGATCAGGACCGCGTGGAGAAATAGGGTGCACATTTTTGAATCGTTTAGTAATCCTATGTTACCGGAAATGCATATTCCAACATGGAATACCTACCCTATGAATTTCAGACACTTATTTTTATATTCTCCTTTTTTTTCTACAGATTTTTTTTTAGACAAATTATAAATGACTCAAAGATCAGCTGCTAAATTTCTACACGTGATGGAACATGATTCCGGAAAAATCAAAACGCGCTCACAAAAAATGATTTAAATTTGAAAAAATAACACATCGCTGCGTGAACGTCTCATAAACACGTATAGTTTAGGGTAAGGTCAGAACGTGTGCTTAGATGTTGCCTATATAAGAGATGAACGAGGTTAGGCCGATTACGCGAAAAAATTGGTCGTTCTTCGAGCCTTAGAATTTGATATCAACCAAATGGCGTGCCCAAATGTTAAAGTTTTTTTTTTTGAATTTCTAATCGCGTTAGAACTGAACTCATAGTAGCGTCATTCCTAAAACGTTGTATATAATCGATCTCAAAAAAAAGCATAATCATTCATTCACACGTAAGAAACCATATGGATACCATATGATCGATCAAAAACTATGTTGCGCAAAGATATCGAAGTTAAATTATTGTTGACTACTCTTCCATTCGAAAAAATAAAATGTACGATGTAACATTTTAGATTGATTTATATTTAATTCGTATATTTTAATCACGAATAAATTTGATAAAAACCCCCTAAAAATGGAAATTGGGGAAAATTGTGGAATGGCATCAGAACCGGAAAAAATATCAAAATTTTTAATTAACATAATTATAAAATGGCCCATACATAAATATTCACTTTTCTTCCCCTAATTCTAGTCTTCTTGCTAACAATAACTAATATTAATATACTCAATATAACGAATCGAATGATATCTTATTCCACATTGTTCAAATAATTAACTTTATTCAAAATCGAATTATAACCTAAATCTTGGACAGGTGACTGTGATTGACAAAAGTTCTTAAATTTTCTGTCAAATATCACGTGTCAAGAATAAACAATAATAAAGACTCTTTGCCCTTAAAATGGCACACAATAATAATTTCTGTCAATAACAATTAGAGCATATATATTATTTTATAATTTAAAAAAAAACTATTCGAAACGAATACCAAATAGTAAATTATTATTTGTACGAATACCAAATAGTATAATTATTCGATTCGTTTAAACGATGTTTGTAGACCTCGAAGAATCTGATGATTATTAACGAGTTTATGCTCAAGTTCTTAGTCCCCCCCCTCCCGAAAATAACGACAAGGGAACGGCCTTTGACAGAGGCTCATGAATCCATGGTTACCCGAAAAAAAAACAAAAAACCTTCATTACATGATAAAAGAATAAATCATTAAATCTACTCAAAAAAAAAATAAATTAAGAACGGTTAAATATTTCGGGCTTTGAAATGAGCAAACAAACCTCGAAATCTCGCGTTTGATCGACATCAAACAGGTGGAGGAACGAATGGAAATGTTTGAACATTTCCTGCAAAAGGGTGGAAAGGACGAGGGCCGGCAGGAATTGAAATTTTATTCTAAATAAAACGACGCTAAGAAGGTATTTGCAAGATAGATCCCCGTTGAGAGCGTCGTAACACATATTCTCGTCATCGGCCATCGCGCTGTCGCCGTCCGTCAACGGGAAATCGCAAAAATCTTCCTCCAAAAATGTTTTCGACGATAACGCGGAAAGTTTGCGGATAATCTCCCCGAGCTCGCGGTAACAAGGGAATAAACTTTCGAAGGCGTCCTTCACCTTTAACAAGCTGCGTAACGAGTAATAATATATATGAATGAATATTTTGTAAAATTACTTTATAGGATTAGCAAATAGGCGATCGACATATCCACCAATCACATTCCTGCAATCTTTAATTTTTTGGAAGGGATTATCCTTATTGGTGTTGGGATACAATAGGGGAAAATAGTTTTGCAAAATAACATCATCTGTAAAAAAAAATTATTATTTTTATATATAAAATATTTTAAAAAAAATATGTTATAAATAAAAATAACTAAATTTATAAATTCCAAAATAAAAGATCAAGGACTTGCTTGCAAGGGCCCATAACCAGAATTTGTTTTTAACTTAGGGAATCACTGAGAGGGGGGGGGGGGAGGCAAAATATTTTGAATATTTTGAAAACATTTCATTTTTGATAATGAATAAGAGTGTTAGATTAGAAAAAAAATATGAATTAGGTAATTGTAGAGAATTTAAGGATCGAATTAGACAAGAATTAAAGATATTTATTTAAGTCATAAAAAAATCATTATTATCACAATTTATCGTATCTTGTTCTAAGATTTCTACTTATAAATGAAATTCAGGGTAGAAGAAAAATAGGCCTAGATTTTATTAAGGAACCCAATTCTCAAAGATTGTTCTCTATACTATTGGGAGTTTTTAGTCTGACCTAGCGAAGATTCCGTGTTATCAACATGCTGCAATAGCTTTTCCATGAGTATTCGGAAGGAGTTAACTTCATCTTCTTCCATATGATCCGTAGGATATATAGAGGAGGCATAGGGGAGACAATCGTAATCATTTGTATCGAGCAAATTATCCGCCGAATAATCCGGCAACGATTCCGCGTCGTTAAACGGGAGTCGAGTACCGGAGCAAAGGATAGTGAGAGGAGAGAAACGCGCGCTTCCGGAATGATTCGATCGAGAATTTAGCGTAAAGTTTTGTCGGCAGAAACCAATCGGAATTGAAGAACGCTTGATTTTTAAATGAGCATGCAAAAAGATATCCATTTATAAACAATTGAGGTGTATTACGAGATCCTACGCCTTCATTCAAAAAAAAAGGAAATACGAATTGAATAAACGAATCAAATCTTACGAGCGAACTATTCGTAATTATACCGATCGAGTACGAATAGTAAATTATTCGATTCATTCGAAAGAATCCGATACGAATCAAATTGAGCGTTTACGTTTAGCCGTAATTTTTTTTAATTTAAAAAAAAACGTAACGTGTCCCTTTTAAATTGAAGTTGCCTTTTTATATTATCGTCTGCGTTCTTATTTATTTAATTTTTTTTAACGAAAAATTATATTATCGTCTGCGTTCTTATTTCTTTAATTTTTAACGAAAAATTATATTATCGTCTACATTCTTATTGCTTTTAATTTCTAAATATTCATTTTTAAGATTTAATAAGTAAGTTTATTTATATTACAATTTTTATATAATAATTACAAAGCGAAGAATTAAAAAAAAAGGTATTGTAAAGCAAAACCTGTTTTCCGTTTTTTTAAAATGGTAGCCAACGCCAAACGGTAATTTATACCAATTTACGCGAGGCCATTTAAAATGCATTAAAAAGCACAATTTGTAAGCATTATTATTCAATTCGATTTGTCAAAAAAAATGAATAAATTATTTTAATAATCCATTATTCTTTTTTTTTAAAAAAATATTTTATATAAAGGAAATAAATTCTTCAAATCGAATATTAGGCGAATTAAATATTCGACGAATCAAAAAACGGTGTAATTGAATATCTGATAACTAAATTATACATCGAAGGTTCATATAAGGGGCACAAGGACCTCGACATACCGCTGATGAAACAAAAAAATTTTCTTTTTTAATTTTCTCGACAAAAAAAATATACGTTTTTTGGGAGAACAATTGATAATTAAATAAATTTAAAAATTACCTTGTCACAGAGCAAGCATTCTTTATAAATTTCTCTAAGGACATCCTGCAGCACTAAATCCAAATCGTAAACTTGGGTATCGCTGATCAACGAGGGAATCAGCGTTTTAAGCGTGGCGATCAAAATCGATTTTAGTTCTGACCTCTTCTGGCGACGATGAGTTTCGGTTATATGAATTTTACCTTTGGTAACGATCTATGATCCCCAAAAAGACAGATAAGTTGTGGGGGGTGGGAAAGGATTAATATGGAAAAATGTAAACCCTCAATAATATAATAAGTATCTGAGCCTTTGTTATGATAAATTTAATTATATTTATCAGAGATCTGCAGACCCCGGTCCATGTGCCCAAACCGGGCTCATCTGGGCCAGACCTGAAAATATAAAAAAAATGGCGGGCCATGCAAATGGTATCTCTGCAGGTTCTCCGATATTTATTAACATTTCTGGATAGACATATTAAATAGTTTAATATCATATCGAGATTTGGTATGAGTGAACGATCACGTGCCTGTTGGGTTCAGTGTTGTTAAACGGCTAAGCCGAGTCGACTTAGCTGCGACTCGAGCCTAGTTTCTAGTCGATAAAACGACTTTGACTCTCGCTGGGTCTGCTCAATTTTTTTGTTTTTTTATAAAATCTGGTAAATTAAATTTTGGGTTACTGATTAATGAGTACAAAATTATAATAAGAATAATCATGTCGTATTCGAATTCGGCTTCAAGGATATTACACCTAATTTTTATAACATAAAAATATAATTTATATTGTAAAGATGTTAAATTAAAATTTTAGTGAGGATGAACCCTAGATATGTGACAATTGTCATAATCGTTGTTTTTAAAGTTTTTCGAATTTTTTTTGACGTAAATGGGCTAAAATAAGCATTGCTAACATGTTTAAATAAGATTTTAGTGAAGATGTACCCTAGATAAGTGACAATTGTCATAATCGTTGTTTTAAAAGTTTTTCGAATTTTTTTGACGTAAATGGGCTAAAATAAGCATTGCTAACATGTTTAAATAAAATTTTAGTGAAGATGTACTCTAGATACAGGGTTTCCCATTCAAAAAAAGAAAATCATAATTTTTTTAAATTTTTTGTCAATTTTTCTTAAACTTTTATTTATATGAGTTATTCCTTTTTAATTTATTTCTAAATTTTTACGTTTTTTTTCTTACTGTATCTTTTCTCAATTTATTTTTAACTTTTTGCATTTTCTTTACTTTTATTTTTCTTACTGTATCTTCTCTCAATTTATTTTTCTTCAATTTATAAATTTAAGTCCATTTTTTTAACAATTTACGTTTTTTTTCATCATAGATACAGATACAATATTCTTTTTATGATTTATTCATTTTAATCTTTTACATACATTTTTAACCTTTTCAATCTCTTCATTTTTAATCTTTATTTGTTTGAGCATTTATCTATTTTTTCTTCTCATTTTTGATAATTATTTTTTAAAATTATATTTAATGTTTTTGGCAGACAATATAATTACAATTGCTAAATAATAAATTAATCGTTTAATTTACCTTACCTGTAATACCAAACGATATTTAAATTAATAAAATATAATCATTTTTAAATTCTTATTTTTAAAACGCATTAGAAAATTTTTATTATTTAAAACAATAGGGAAGAACAGACTAAAATAAAAAAAAATTTTATAAAGTATATTTCCATGGATTTTAATTCGAGTTATTTATATTCAGTTGTACAATCATCACAGTCCCAACAAGAAATTACAGGGATAGAGGTAAATTATATGTATATTTAATATTGAAGATGAGTTTTTCTTACATAATTTTGCTAAAATTTATAAATATGATATATTTTATTTTGTTAATTATAATAATTTAGAAATTCGAAATTAATTTGAATCCGCTTATTATTTTATTTAATCAACTAGCAATCCTTCTGCTCTTATTTATATTTTAATTGAGGTTTTAACAATAGAATTAATGCCCAATATGCTAATTGACTCAGCATCCGATTAGTGAATTTTTTTATTCCATCTCTCATAATTTTAGAGGAATATAAATAAATATTTTTTTTTAATTTTATTATTAATCTTTTAAAAATTGAAGATGAGCTTATTCTTATTTGAAACTATAAATTTTTCAAACCACGCCAGGCCCGAATTATTTTAAAAAAAAAAATTATTTATTTTTACATAGACGCATACTGAGTTTAGAAATATTTCAAAAATTTCATTTACTCTCCCATTCAGATTTTATATTTATCTTCAATTACTTATATGAATATTTTTAGCAAATTTACGAAGGCATATGAAGTCTATGCATCCTGAAGCATTATCCACCAAATTTATTGAAATTCCTGATTCATTGTTCGGAGCCAGAAAACTATCTGACCGAAAATCTTTGTATGAATAAATTAGTATTGCCGCCTTATAAGGAATAATATATCTTTCAATATTTTGGAGAGCGAAACCTTTAAAGATATTTACGAATATGCAAATAAAAATATAAAGATAGTTTGTCGCCAAACTGCAAAAAGGTATTTATCGAATATATTCTTAAGCGCCAAAGATGGCATAATCAAAATTTTAAATAATGTCACGGGATTAGTTTCTCTAACCACGGATATCTGGTCACAAAATTCCATATCATATTGTGCGATTACCGTACATTTTATTGACGAATTCTGGGTATTAAAAAATTTTTTGCTAGATATTCTAGAGTTTCCCTACCCTCACAAAGGTGAAGATATTTGTGAGCTAATCATAGAATCAATTGAAAACTTTAAAATAGAAAAAAAAAATTTAGCCATCACACGTGACAATGGTTCCGATATAATAGTCGCCCTAGATTTAATAAATGAAAATTTCTAGTCAAAATATAAAAAGGGCATTAATAGTCATAGATGCCTTGCGCATGTTATGAAAATTATTGTAAAGGAAGGGATGATTCCTTTTCGAAAGAGCTAGATATGGTAGAAAAATTACATAAAAGTCCGAAATGGATGCAAGAGTTTATAAAAATTAGTGGTACACGAATTACAATGGATGTGGTCACTTGATGGAATAGCATCATCATAATGTTATCTAGTATTAATAAAGTATTATAATAATATTTAATGTTCGATAATATTTTATTTTATATAGCACATCCAGGCTATCAAGGATTTGGGGAAGAAAATTTTGGAAAGAAAATTTTAATTTAACTATTGATGATTGTGAATTTTTGAAGCATCTCGAAATATTTTTATATCCATTTTATAAAATTACATGCGAAATATGTACAGAAAAGTCCCCTACAATTGGAATGGCCATTCTATATATAGATAAAATTTATAGAACGTTAGATAGGTATGCTGCTTATCATCAAATTGAGGCTATTAAAATGGCCTCGATGAAGATGCTAGATAAATGCACTATATATATATCGCATATGACGAAATTTGAAAACTACGTAGGTAGTTTTCTTGATACAAGGATCAAGAAGATTTTTCTACCGAGTTTTATTAATACAATTGGATACTATGAAAGATTGAAGAATTTATTTAGTACGTATCAAGCATCTTCTTCTCAGCAATACGATTTCGAGGAGACCGAATCTAATTTGATGTCGGTAAATATTTTGAATGAGTTGAGAAGGTAAATATAGAAATTAATCCTAATTATTTATATAAAATCATTCATATTTTATATTTAGAGATGCCTATATTGTGCTTGATCCTGCTTTAGAAGAGATTGAGGATCATTTGGCGGATCCAGTGGCAAAGACAACAGTGGATGTTCTTAGCTGGTGGTCTGGAAATGCCAAGAGATTTCCAAAATTATCGAATATGGCTAGAGATTATTTAGGGCAACAAACAACATCTGTTGGCAGCGAAAGAGTTTTTCTAGAGCTGCCGATACCTTGAAGAACAAACCAAATAGAATGTCCTCTTCAACTCTTAAACAATGCCTCTAGCTAAAATTCATGGGACATAAAGATATTAAATTTAAAGGAAGACCTTTGGAAATATTTAAAGTGTAGGTTATTTTATAAATAAAGATTATATATAGTAAAAAAAATGCGTCCTTATTTATTATTTTTTTAAAATTTATAAATTAGTTTTATCGAAGTCAGATATAAAACAGATGTTTTAACTAAATGGTCTTTAATAAACAAAATTATATGTACTAGGATTTCGTAATGAATTAAACTAGCAAAAATAATTATCAAAAATGAGAAGAAAAAATAGATAAATGCTCAAAAAAATAAAGATTAAAAATGGAGACATTGAAAGGTTAAAAATGTATGTAAAAGATTAAAATGAATAAATCATAAAAAGAATATTGTATCTGTATATATGATGAAAAAAAAACGTAAATTGTTAAAAAAAATGGACCTAAATTTATAAATTGAATAAAAAATAAATTGAGAAAAGATAGTGTAAGAAAAAAAACGTAAAGAAATCGCAAAAGTTTAGAAATAAATTAAAAAGGAATAACTAAAATAAATAAAGGTTTAAGAAAAATTGACAAAAAATTTAAAAAAATTACGATTTTCTTTTTTTGAATAGGAAACCCTGTATCTAGAGTACATCTTCACTAAAATTTTATTTAAACATGTTAGCAATGCTTATTTTAGCCCATTTACGTCAAAAAAATTCGAAAAACTTTAAAAACAACGATTATGACAATTGTCACTTATCTAGGGTTCATTTTCACTAAAATTTTATTTAAACATGTTAGCAATGCTTATTTTAGCCCATTTACGTCAAAAAAAATTCGAAAAATTTTAAAAACAACGATTATGACAATTGTCACTTATCTAGGGTACATCTTCACTAAAATTTTATTTAAACATGTTAGCAATGCTTATTTTAGCCCATTTACGTCAAAAAAAATTCGAAAAACTTTAAAAACAACGATTATGACAATCGTCACTTATCTAGGGTACATCTTCACTAAAATTTTATTTAAACATGTTAGCAATGCTTATTTTAGCCTATTTACGTCAAAAAAATTCGAAAAACTTTAAAAACAACGATTATGACAATTGTCACTTATCTAGGGTACATCTTCACTAAAATTTTATTTAAACATGTTAGCAATGCTTATTTTAGCCCATTTACGTCAAAAAAATTCGAAAAACTTTAAAAACAACGATTATGACAATTGTCACTTATCTAGGGTACATCTTCACTAAAATTTTATTTAAACATGTTAGCAATGCTTATTTTAGCCCATTTACGTCAAAAAAATTCGAAAAACTTTAAAAACAACGATTATGACAATTGTCACTTATCTAGGGTACATCTTCACTAAAATTTTATTTAAACATGTTAGCAATGCTTATTTTAGCCCATTTACGTCAAAAAAATTCGAAAAACTTTAAAAACAACGATTATGACAATTGTCACTTATCTAGGGTTCATTTTCACTAAAATTTTATTTAAACATGTTAGCAATGCTTATTTTAGCCTATTTACGTCAAAAAAATTCGAAAAACTTTAAAAACAACGATTATGACAATTGTCACTTATCTAGGGTACATCTTCACTAAAATTTTATTTAAACATGTTAGCAATGCTTATTTTAGCCCATTTACGTCAAAAAAATTCGAAAAACTTTAAAAACAACGATTATGACAATTGTCACTTATCTAGGGTACATCTTCACTAAAATTTTATTTAAACATGTTAGCAATGCTTATTTTAGCCCATTTACGTCAAAAAAATTCGAAAAACTTTAAAAACAACGATTATGACAATTGTCACTTATCTAGGGTTCATTTTCACTAAAATTTTATTTAAACATGTTAGCAATGCTTATTTTAGCCTATTTACGTCAAAAAAATTCGAAAAACTTTAAAAACAACGATTATGACAATTGTCACTTATCTAGGGTACATCTTCACTAAAATTTTATTTAAACATGTTAGCAATGCTTATTTTAGCCCATTTACGTCAAAAAAATTCGAAAAACTTTAAAAACAACGATTATGACAATTGTCACTTATCTAGGGTATATCTTCACTAAAATTTTATTTAAACATGTTAGCAATGCTTATTTTAGCCCATTTACGTCAAAAAAATTCGAAAAACTTTAAAAACAACGATTATGACAATTGTCACTTATCTAGGGTACATCTTCACTAAAATTTTATTTAAACATGTTAGCAATGCTTATTTTAGCCCATTTACGTCAAAAAAATTCGAAAAACTTTAAAAACAACGATTATGACAATTGTCACTTATCTAGGGTACATCTTCACTAAAATTTTATTTAAACATGTTAGCAATGCTTATTTTAGTCCATTTGCGTCAAAATTCGAAAAACTTAAAAAACAACGATTATGACAATTGTCACTTATCTAGGGTACATCTTCACTAAAATTTTATTTAAACATGTTAGCAATGCTTATTTTAGCCCATTTACGTCAAAATCGAAAAACTTAAAAAACAACGATTATGACAATTGTCACTTATCTAGGGTACATCTTCACTAAAATTTTATTTAAACATGTTAGCAATGCTTATTTTAGCCCATTTACGTCAAAAAAATTCGAAAAACTTAAAAAACAACGATTATGACAATTGTCACTTATCTAGGGTACATCTTCACTAAAATTTTATTTAAACATGTTAGCAATGCTTATTTTAGCCCATTTACGTCAAAAAAATTCGAAAAACTTTAAAAACAACGATTATGACAATTGTCACTTATCTAGGGTACATCTTCACTAAAATTTTATTTAAACATGTTAGCAATGCTTATTTTAGCCCATTTACGTCAAAAAAATTCGAAAAACTTTAAAAACAACGATTATGACAATTGTCACTTATCTAGGGTACATCTTCACTAAAATTTTATTTAAACATGTTAGCAATGCTTATTTTAGCCCATTTACGTCAAAAAAATTCGAAAAACTTTAAAAACAACGATTATGACAATTGTCACTTATCTAGGGTACATCTTCACTAAAATTTTATTTAAACATGTTAGCAATGCTTATTTTAGCCCATTTACGTCAAAAAAATTCGAAAAACTTTAAAAACAACGATTATGACAATTGTCACTTATCTAGGGTACATCTTCACTAAAATTTTATTTAAACATGTTAGCAATGCTTATTTTAGCCCATTTACGTCAAAAAAATTCGAAAAACTTTAAAAACAACGATTATGACAATTGTCACTTATCTAGGGTACATCTTCACTAAAATTTTATTTAAACATGTTAGCAATGCTTATTTTAGTCCATTTGCGTCAAAAAATCGAAAAACTTAAAAAACAACGATTATGACAATTGTCACTTATCTAGGGTACATCTTCACTAAAATTTTATTTAAACATGTTAGCAATGCTTATTTTAGCCCATTTACGTCAAAATCGAAAAACTTAAAAAACAACGATTATGACAATTGTCACTTATCTAGGGTACATCTTCACTAAAATTTTATTTAAACATGTTAGCAATGCTTATTTTAGCCCATTTACGTCAAAAAAATTCGAAAAACTTAAAAAACAACGATTATGACAATTGTCACTTATCTAGGGTACATCTTCACTAAAATTTTATTTAAACATGTTAGCAATGCTTATTTTAGCCCATTTACGTCAAAAAAATTCGAAAAACTTTAAAAACAACGATTATGACAATTGTCACTTATCTAGGGTACATCTTCACTAAAATTTTATTTAAACATGTTAGCAATGCTTATTTTAGCCCATTTACGTCAAAAAAATTCGAAAAACTTTAAAAACAACGATTATGACAATTGTCACTTATCTAGGGTACATCTTCACTAAAATTTTATTTAAACATGTTAGCAATGCTTATTTTAGCCAATTTACGTCAAAAAAATTCGAAAAACTTTAAAAACAACGATTATGACAATTGTCACTTATCTAGGGTACATCTTCACTAAAATTTTATTTAAACATGTTAGCAATGCTTATTTTAGCCCATTTACGTCAAAAAAATTCGAAAAACTTTAAAAACAACGATTATGACAATTGTCACTTATCTAGGGTACATCTTCACTAAAATTTTATTTAAACATGTTAGCAATGCTTATTTTAGCCCATTTACGTCAAAAAAATTCGAAAAACTTTAAAAACAACGATTATGACAATTGTCACTTATCTAGGGTACATCTTCACTAAAATTTTATTTAAACATGTTAGCAATGCTTATTTTAGCCTATTTACGTCAAAAAAATTCGAAAAACTTTAAAAACAACGATTATGACAATTGTCACTTATCTAAGGTACATCTTCACTAAAATTTTATTTAAACATGTTAGCAATGCTTATTTTAGCCCATTTACGTCAAAAAAATTCGAAAAACTTTAAAAACAACGATTATGACAATTGTCACTTATCTAGGGTACATCTTCACTAAAATTTTATTTAAACATGTTAGCAATGCTTATTTTAGCCCATTTACGTCAAAAAAATTCGAAAAACTTTAAAAACAACGATTATGACAATTGTCACTTATCTAGGGTACATCTTCACTAAAATTTTATTTAAACATGTTAGCAATGCTTATTTTAGTCCATTTGCGTCAAAATCGAAAAACTTAAAAAACAACGATTATGACAATTGTCACTTATCTAGGGTACATCTTCACTAAAATTTTATTTAAACATGTTAGCAATGCTTATTTTAGCCCATTTACGTCAAAATCGAAAAACTTAAAAAACAACGATTATGACAATTGTCACTTATCTAGGGTACATCTTCACTAAAATTTTATTTAAACATGTTAGCAATGGATTAGCCCATTTACGTCAAAATCGAAAAACTTAAAAAACAACGATTATGACAATTGTCACTTATCTAGGGTACATCTTCACTAAAATTTTATTTAAACATGTTAGCAATGCTTATTTTAGCCCATTTACGTCAAAAAAATTCGAAAAACTTTAAAAACAACGATTATGACAATTGTCACTTATCTAGGGTACATCTTCACTAAAATTTTATTTAAACATGTTAGCAATGCTTATTTTAGTCCATTTGCGTCAAAATCGAAAAACTTAAAAAAACAACGATTATGACAATTGTCACTTATCTAGGGTACATCTTCACTAAAATTTTATTTAAACATGTTAGCAATGCTTATTTTAGCCCATTTACGTCAAAAAAATTCGAAAAACTTTAAAAACAACGATTATGACAATTGTCACTTATCTAGGGTACATCTTCACTAAAATTTTATTTAAACATGTTAGCAATGCTTATTTTAGCCTATTTACGTCAAAAAAATTCGAAAAACTTTAAAAACAACGATTATGACAATTGTCACTTATCTAGGGTACATCTTCACTAAAATTTTATTTAAACATGTTAGCAATGCTTATTTTAGCCCATTTACGTCAAAAAAATTCGAAAAACTTTAAAAACAACGATTATGACAATTGTCACTTATCTAGGGTACATCTTCACTAAAATTTTATTTAAACATGTTAGCAATGCTTATTTTAGTCCATTTACGTCAAAAAATTCGAAAAACTTAAAAAACAACGATTATGACAATTGTCACTTATCTAGGGTACATCTTCACTAAAATTTTATTTAAACATGTTAGCAATGCTTATTTTAGCCCATTTACGTCAAAAAAATTCGAAAAACTTTAAAAACAACGATTATGACAATTGTCACTTATCTAGGGTACATCTTCACTAACATTTAATTTAAACATGTTAGCAATGCTTATTTTAGGCCTTTTACGTCAAAAAAAATTCGAAAAACTTTAAAAACAACGATTATGACAATTGTCACTTACCTAGGGTTCATCTTCACTGAAATTTTAATTTAACATCTTTACAATATAAATTATATTTTTATGTCATAAAAATTAGGTGTATAATCCTTGAAGCCGAATTCGAATACGACAGGAATATTCTTATTATAATTTTGTGCTCATTAATCAGTAACCCAAAATTTAATTTACCAGATTTTATAAAAAAAAAACAAAAAAATTGAGCAGACCCAGCGAGTCGACAAGTGAGCCCGCTACACGCGCCGCCTAAGTAAGTCGGCTCATTCGGCTCCTTGACTACGACTCGAGTCGCAAGAACTCGACTTTTTAACAACACTAGTTGGGTTGCAATAAAATGACATTTTCAATAATAATAATAATAAAATTATTTAAAATTCACTTTTACCTTGAAAGCGTTTAGGATATCTTGCGAGCGAAACGCGTAAGGCGAAAATACCACGTCCGCGATATCCGAGTAAGAATAACCGTTAAATGACACATTTTCGTGTGGGCGTAATAGGCTTGGGGTACATACCTTAAGCCAATCATTTTCGATCATCGAAGAATCGCTGTGAAATAAAGTGTTTGAAAGAAGGAATAAAGAAATCCAAGAATTCTCTGAGTTAAGAAAAATAATAACAATCCCTAGAAATCTATATTCTTAGAGAGAGTTTCAACCTAGATCGAAATGGACGATTACTGGGGGATTAGTCAAGCTCAAGCATCTCTTTATGATTCCAACACTTGATCCGTATGTCTTCAGTCCATTAGAAATTGTTCCCTTTCTTTAATAAGCCATAAAGGGGTGTCATGATTGTTGAAATTTTTTTTTATAAATCGATGATAGTAATTTATGAGTCCTAATAGTAACCGCAATTCGTTGACTGACTTCAGGAATTGGAGCATATTTTATCTAGTTTCTCGCCTGATAGAATAAGACCTTTGCTAGGCATTTTACTTTTTCTTTAAGAAATTTGCTCTTTTCGTAATTTGCTTTAAGACAGAACTTCGACATTCATTTAGAATACTTCTAAATTTTTAGATCGTCAATATAATATGCTACTCCCGTCATTTTCCCGAAAATTAGGCTCATCATGGTCCTTTGAAATATAGCTGAATTTTATTCCGAATGGCATTATTTTGAATTGGAATAGACCTTCATGTGTGTTAATAGCTACATTCTTATCAAAATCTATTACTACTGATGATCTAATAATTACAGGTTCTTCGGATAAAGAGTATTTAAAAAATCTAGAAGTATTCCAACAAATGTTGGAGTTCTGTCTTAAAGCAAATTACGAAAAGAGCAAATTTCTTAAAGATTAAGTAAAATTCCTAGGACATGTCATATCCAGCAAAGGTCTTATGCCCTCAGACGAGAAACTACAAGCGATAAAATATGCTCCAATTCCCTGATTCAATATGCTCCAATTCCCTGATTCAGTCAAGGAATTGCAGACACTATTAGGACTTATGAATTACTATCATCGATTTATAAAAATATTTTTCAACTATCGTGGTACCCTTTTACGACTTATTAAAGAAAGGCAACAATTTCCAATGAACCGAAGAATGCGAATCAAGTGTTGAAATCTTAAAGAGATGTTTGACTAATCCTCCAGTAATCGTCCATTTCGATCTAGATGTTGTGACTCTCTCTAAGGGGAGATATAATAAGAATATTGATTTCTCGGGATTGTTATTTAAAACCGGTATTTGAAACCGTTAACGAATATCGGTTGGGGAATTGGTTTGAAACCTTTTCGCGTAAAATCTCATTTAGAATTATTGTTAAAAAGATCATTTAAATTTATCCCTATTCCCACTAAAATGATAACGAGCCCTAATATTTTTTTAAGATTCCTCTTCCGCCAAATTATAGCCACGAGGGAGAATGAATAAATTTCACGGTAGTTGCACTTGTCAAATAGCAATATACACTTATATCGATTATGAATATTTAAAAACAGTTATTGTATATCCAGAAAAAAATTGGAACCAAGTTCACAGACATTTTTAAGAGGTTTTAGTACGGGATGATAAACTTTTTTTGACAGTTCAGGGTTAGGTTTTGCAAATAATAGCGAGACCGTACCGTTATAACGGTTCGCGTTTAGTTTGGATTCCCCGATGCGGCTCAGTTTGGCCGATTTTAAACTAAGATCATAGACAATATATATATAACGCAAGCCTAGAGAAAATTTCGCCAGCATATGTTCAACCATTTCCGCCATTTTTCGAGTAAAAATCTTCAGTATTGGGGGAGGGGGGCTAAAATAACTGGGCTAACCGTTTTTTTAAAAAAAATCGAGTCGTTATACAAACACTAACCAAGTAATGTGGGAGCTGGAGAGGCGGTCAAACAACCTTATTTAATTTATAAATAAAATTTTGGACCTTGCTTTGCTGGACCAGAACCTTAAAAAAAAATTTGGGCCAAAAAACAAGGGCGCATAATTTAAGCCATATTCGACCATATCTGAATTATATTATATTATAATACAGTATACCCCATGTTTCATTATCTATTACCCATATAAAGTCTTATTTAGGAATCAAATCGATCTTATATTTGTTTTTTTGGAATAATTTCTGTTTAGCCCAGCTTATAGGAGATTTTTAAGTAGAAACACCCAAGTTTGGTTTGAATTAAAAGTATATGTACATATAATAAATAATATTTGTTATTTATATTTCCCTTCACCCCCCCAATCTAAAATAACCTTTCTTATTAGGTTGTTTAGAGGATGATATATAGCAGTCAAAAAGGGCCAGAGGTCTTCATGCCAGGCCCGCATTTAAGCCCGGCCCAAGCTCACAATAAGTTTCAAAAATTTTGACAAATCCAAGCCTAACCCATATCCAAATATTTGATTTATTGTCAATCAATGAATATAAACAATATTCCGATGCACTTAAGCAATCATTTTGTTTGCGATACTCCAATTTGTTATAAGTAGTAGAAAGAAGAAAAAAAATAATTGTATATTTTAAGTTAGCAGCTGTTTTAAAATAAGTTATATTTAAAATGTCCCAAAAACGAACTACTATTTAGAAATAAGATGAGCCAGAACAAGACCGTGTCTTTTTTTTCTGACGTTTAGTAAATTATAAATCAATCAATGAAGGAAATGGAGGGGGGGGGGGGTTATCAATCAAATAAAAGTTCTAAGGAAATTTAGTATAATTTATATAAAATTTAGAAAAAGTTATGTATATGAAATAAACATTTTATGACGCAAATATTTTGTGGGTCACTCATATATGGCGGAATACGATTCCGGTAAATAAATATAGGACCTTTTAAAATTAAAAAAAAAAGACGCGCGGTAAATTTATAAAGTTTTTTTTAAAAAATTTGCTAAACCCACTCCGCCCCCCCCATGGAGGTCTACGAAATAGCTAAATTTTGTTAAATTTCTCACGACATAATATCTAATAATTTTTGGGATAATAAACTTTAATCGTCTATAAAGTATGGAAGCGTTACCAGTCTCATCTAGCACCGATAGCCATACGTTTCCTTTAATCAGGGTTATGTCTTTATACAGAGCCTAAATAGGGGATAAAACAGGAAGTAATTTAAATTTTAGATAAGAATAAGTATAAGAACCTATTGCAAGATAGAATTCATCAATTAAAATGGCTAAATATAAATTAGAAAATCGCGGTAAACCAGCCAGGGCTAAACGGCCCGGGGATTATTTTTTATCGGTTTTTATTGGCCTGGCCCGTAATCATTCCGGTCCTGTCCAGCCCAGACCCAAAAAAACCGTATATAATTTTAAGCTTTAAAATAACCTGACTAGGGTAAGTCAGATGTTTAACCAAAGCTACATCTATCCCATCATTTTTACCCATCTTGGTTGGCTGATCCAAAATCAATTTGAGCAATAGTATAGAGTTGGGTATACCAAATTCGCAGGTGGCGAAGGGTAGAATCAAGCAGAGGTAGGGTCTGATGACGGGTAGCAACGTTGCCGAATTTTGGGGATCTTCCATCATTCCTTCCCCATTTTCTTCCAAATTTTCGGTCGCGCTAACATTTTCGACCAAGTACAATATTTTTAAGGTTATAGCGGAGGTGGAAGCTGGCGAATCCCAGGGTTGATGAGGTATGGGAAAGGGTAAATAATCAGCTATTTCGAAGGTGTGCTTATCGAGCTGGGTATGGTCATTCTGTGTTCGGTTGATATATATATATTAATAATTTTAAAAAATATTTTAGTAATAAAATAGCTTAAGAGGCGCGGTAAAAATATTAGCCTATATTTCTTTAAAAAAAACAAACCAATCAGCTCTTGGAACAGGACAAGAACGTTCTAGAATGTTCCAGATTAAAAATAATGGGAACATGAGTTTAAAAAAATTATCCCGAGGAGAATAGAATTTGTTATTCATTATTATAATTAATACGTTATTCTTTATATTTTAAATAAAATAAACAATTTAAATCAAGTTTAAGAGATAATCATATAAAATTAAAGTTAATTTGAATTTAATTTATTTATTTATGTATATAATAAGATATTCACCAAAATATAGGATTGAAAAAAAAAATCATGATTTTTTTATTTGATTTAAATCAAATTTTATAATATAATAAATTTTATTATTTAAAAGAAAGGTCTTTTTTTTTCTGTGAAATATATGAATAAATTGTGGTTATAAAGTTCTAAAAAAAATACTATATGAAATATTAATCAATATTCAATATTTCTCCATTTCACTCTAATTTTAATACATGTCAAAATTAAAAAAAATAATTTTATAAGAATATATGATTATTAATTGAAACTCATATTTTATATTAAGATAAATCTATGAATAAAAGTACAATTTTTATAAAGAAAAATTAAACATTTTCATATACAAACCTGTGCTAATTAATTTTTGTCAGTATCAAAATAATGATATTCATTCAAATAAAGAGAAATTTATATAATTATAGATATTTTAATTAAATTAAAACAATAGTAATTATGGTAATTTTTTTTTATAGTTTATTATTTAAAAGTCATTTTTTTTAAACCAAATATAGAAATTAATTATAACATATTATATAAAAATAGTAAAATAAGATATAAAAAAACTAATAAATATTCTAAAAAAAAGGAGAATTTGAATCATAAATTATTAACAACTAACTACAAGTTAAAAATGGGACCAACAACTACAGGTCCGCAATGACCGGGTTTTTGACTGGCCCGCTCCTCCATTTTTATTTAAAATAATTCGTGACTTAAAATTTCGATTAAATAACTCCGTTTCAGCCCATTGAATGTTTTAAAATTATATGATTGATTGATTGACTGATTGATTGGAGTGAATCAAATATAACATTTATTTTAATTTTTCAATTTACCCGAATGTTAAAATTTCTTAAAAAAAAAGATGAGGATATATATTTTTTTATTTAAAGCTATAAAATTATTAATTTTTGGTGATTAAAACAGATTTAATAAGATGGAGGTATGTGCAATCGAAGCAATGTTCCTTTTAATCTTTTTTTTTTAAAAAAATAATGATTCCTAATATGGATGAGAGAGGACGTATCCATGTACCACTTATTTTTTTAGGTTATTTTATGTGGAGAAGTGCTATTGTTTTAATATGTTTTTAAATTTACTAAAATCCTATCAAATATTATTTTAATTGAGGGGAATACTAGTTTTTACATTTTAATGTGTGAAATTTTTTTGGAATAATTCTGGAATGTTCCAAAAGCTTCTGGTTTTCAGAATGGAACGAAATGACATTTTTTTTATTATTATTAATAGAACTTATATTAAAACATAATTTAATGTTCTAAGTCCTTACTGAATTGTAGTGTGTGTATATATATATATATATGGTGAATTCCATATCAAATCAACCAAGAACCCGACCCCCTTCAATTTTTCTTAAATTTTGTATACTGATAGTATATACTATAACTAAGAAAAAAAATGAAATTTTACCTTCCAACACTGTTTACCCTGTAAGATATGGCCGTTTAAAGCGCGGAAAAATGGTACATTTTTGACAAATTGCACCTCATTTATTTTCAAATATCTCGAGAAATAATTATGTTAGAAAAATAATTTAAATTTTATTTTGTAGCTTAATAAAAGTTCTTTAAAATGACATAAAAATAAATATAATGGACATTTGATTAATATCGAAAACCGGATGTATAAAACCGGAAATGGCCATAGTAAAAAAAGGTATTTTTTTCAAATTTTTTTTCTGTAGATAGATATCACACTGCTTTATATTTGTACGAAATCCTAGACTGGGATGAACATGGGCTTAGGAGTTATCACTCTTTATATGGGTAAAATTGAACAAATTTAATATTAATATCATCATATTTTAATTTAATGAATAGTTATGAAATAATGTTAATTTAAAAATTATGTCTAAATGATAGGCCCTTACTTTTTTTATCTTTATAAAAAAATTTGAGAGGTGGCTGGGATAATGAGCTGTTTAATTAGTTAAATTTTGTCTCGAAGTTACTTGACAAAATAATTCTAAACATATTTATAACTTTATTTGCCTCAAATTGCATTATATATAATACAATCAAAAATTTATAATTAAAAAATATCATATATTATAATCATCCAAGGAATTTTAATAAATTATGACTTTTGTTTTTGTCTAAGGGAATAAAAGCTTTGAACTCTGTTCCAGAAATTCTCTTTGCTCTCAAATATCTGCTTTCAATATGACTTTCTATGTTCATATATTCATTATTGCTCACAAATATATAATTTACCCCATAGATATTTTGCATAGTTAAATAAATCTATTGTTGTAAATATGTGATGTTATGGACGTTGCAAGCTTGCTCCAGCTGTTAACCGTTTAGTAACGGCCCCCAAAATGTTGCAAGGACACCTTGTGCGGTTTCAAAAAACGTCACTCAGCCTTTATCCCAAAACATTTTCATATTGCAGAGATTAATGAAATCTTTTATTTTTATATTGGTTACTGCTCCATCAGAAAAATAATAAATTTTAGCCACTCTATTAAATCCTTCCTTCAATAATACAATCAATTTTTAAAATAATAAAATGCACATGCGTTGTGCTTTAAAAAATCTGATATAACCACTAAATTTACATATATTTTATTATGTTGTTCTCACAGTAATAAATTATAAAAGAGTTGATAGTGGCTTGATTATTGGTCTGATTAAATCCTTGTGCATGGTTCTGCACTACAAATGCATAGTTTTCTGAAAAGTCTGCAATAACTAAGAATTCATCAACATTTAAATTGAATTTTAGAAAGTTTCGAGTTAATGATTATCATGAAGCTATAAAGAAATGAGGAATTAAATTGTTTAATTATTCAATTAAATAATCTACAAATTCGTCAGCAGATTTTGTCAGTGATTCGAGGGTAGTTCGATCAACTGCTATCCATTGTTTAAATGTTTTATAATCTATATAATTCTCCTCAAATAATATCATGAGCCTTACTTTTAATTTTGAATATATGGGGGAAAATTTATTGTTGAATTTCAATTTTGTTAGATTATTTTATGCTAAATAAAATATTATATTTAAAATTATTTTGTCGAGTAATTTTAATTTCGAGATAATAACTAAAGTTTTAAACAGCCCATTATCCCAGCCACCTCTCAAATTTAAAAAGTAAGGGCTTATCATTTAGACATAATTTTTAAATTAACATTATTTCATAACTATTCATTAAATTAAAATATGATGATATTAATATTAAATTTGTTCAATTTTACCTATATAAAGAGTGATAACTCCTAAACCCATGTTCATCCCAGTCTAGGATTTTGTACAAATATGAAGCAGTGTGATATCTATCTACAGAAAAAAAAAATTTGAAAAAAAAATACCTTTTTTCTATGGCCATTTCCGGTTTTACACATTTTCGATATTAATCAAATGTCTATCATATTTATTTTTATGTCATTTTAAAGAACTTTTATTAAGCTACAAAATAAAATTTAAATTATTTTTCTAACTTAATTATTTCTCAAGATATTTGAAACTAAATGAGGTGCATTTTGTAAAAAATGTACCATTTTTCCGCGCTTTAAACGGCCATATCTTAGCAGATAAACAGTGTTGGAAGGTAAAATTTCATCTTTTTCTTAGTTATAGTATATACTACCAGTATACAAAATTTAAGAAAAATTGAAGGGGGTCAGGTTAAAAATCGACTTTTTTTTTGTTGATTTGATTTGGAATTCACCATATCATATATATATCAATATTAAAATAACCAATGCTATTTTTTTACAATTTTTAAAATGATAAAATATTATCTGAAAACATTTCACAAAATAAACCTCCAATATCCCAACAGTTATTTTGAGATCATTTTCAATAGTAGTAATTAATGCTTTGTCATCATAATAAAAGCATTCCAAAGAGAGCGGTTTATTAAATGGATGTTTTGCAAATCTGGTATAAATATAATTTAAAAATTAAAGGGATACATTTTTTTTAAATGAAATAAGATGATATATATAACTTGAAATAATAAAAATTTAATGAAAATCATAATAATTGCAAACTCAAATGGCAAAAGTCCCGAAAATATTTTCTTAACCAAGGAAACTGAATTGATTTCTTTAATTGCTGGATTAAATATTTCATCTGTAATCATTATTAAAGAATTTATTATTATTTAGATATATTGAAATTAATATCGTTTATTTAATAATATGTTAAATTAGAACAATTGTACCTTTATTATCAAATAAATTTGCAATATTTTTGATATATATTGATCTTAATTTCCCGTTGTTCATTAAACAAATTGATAAAATAGAATTGTTGATGAATGAGGTAGATGTACATAAAATGTGTTCTCTATTATCTGTATTGGCAATGTCAAATTTATATATATTTTTTTGATAATTTATATTATTGAACAGCAAAGGTTGTGTTAAAGTTCCATGGATACCCAAATTAGCCTAATTTATTTAGCTAATTAAAATATTTCAAAAAAAATCACTTACATTTATATAATTATTATCATATAATTTTATAACATACATTGCAGCTAATGAATATAAAATTAAACAGAAGGTTTGAGAAGTTTCAATAAATGATATATTATATAAGAGTGGCTGAGGAAATTCTATTATAATAGGTTGTGTACTAAAAGTAGTATTGTATATTTTATGCAGATCTATATAAAATTTAAAGTTCTTGATCTTACTAAAATATATATAAAAAAATTATATAAAATTAATATAAAACCATAATACGAGAAGCTGGGAATTATTAAATATACATGAAGTGCCATACTCACTATGATCACTTTTCACAAAATCGTCTGAAAGTAATTCTAATTAAGAAAATTAATATCCAATGTATTATATTTACAAAAACCTTTCCCTAAAGAAAGATAATTAAGAAGATCAGTGGTTTCTGGTAGTATTATTTGAAAATACATCACCACTTTGAATTTAAAATATTTTTAAATGACCGAATCTTACAGAGTAAACATGTATTATATAGCTCACTATTATATTATTTGGTTAGGCTACCTTTTCAGGGGCAATTATTTTTGTTATTTTTTTATGTTATTTTTTGTTATTTTTTTATGCGATTTTTTGTTATTTTTTTATGCGATTTTTTTTATGTAATTTTTTTATGAAAACTATTGTTTTTATGTTATTTTTTTATGATTGGTTCATTTTCTTATTAGTTAATTTTTTATTTAAGATATTTTTAAATTAATATATTTTTTTTTATTTAAGATATTTTAAAATAATTTTTTCTAAAATTTAAAATTCGTACAATTATTTAAAGGAAGTGAATGGGGGCAAAGGGGGAAGGCTAGGGGTAAGGGGTAAAATTATTAGATTATGTACAATGCGGGTAGGTTTGGGGTTAAATTTTTGATAGATGAAACTTCGCTATTTAAAATTTATTTGGTTGATTCTTTCTATACAAACTTATTATGATTTCTTCTAAACAAACTTAATACGATTCCTTCTATACAAACTTAATATGATTCCCTCTATACAAACTTAATATGATTCCTTCTATACAAACTTAATATGATTCCCTCTATATAAACTTAATATATGATTCCTTCTATACAAACTTAATATGATTCCTTCTATACAAACTTAATATGAATAATTTTTTCTAAAATTTGTATAAAGAATTTAATTTTTTATAGTGATAACACTATAATTAAAGGAAGATTCCAAAAATAAATAAAATTTAAGCATAACAATCGAAATAATTTATTCATTAAATTGAAATATACTATTAAAATTTATACAATCATTAATAAAATGAATAAAAACATCAAAACGATTTAATAATCTATATTTTCGAAAATATCTATATTCAAGAAGATATTCATGAATATTATCCCGATCCCCATGTCTTTTATAATTTGCCTTTAGATCCCGCCACAGCCTCTCGACTTTTTGAGTGTGGATCGATCTGTCATTTGGATCAACAAAATTTTGCGAATGGTTGATCCGATAGTGGAAATAGTTTGAACTTTCTAGCCGATTATATCTAAGATAAATATATTTACATTTATCACCACTTTTGCTTTATTGAAAAAATAAATTCACATACCCTAACCACGAGTCAGTCATTATCGTGGAATCTTGCATAACATTATCTTTAACCACACGATAGGTGGTATCTTGATCTCTTGTTGTGGTGGCACTTAAAAATATCTCATTTGTTTCCCGACATATACCACCAATAATCCATATAGCCTCGGAAGTCAAATGCCGACCACTGTTATATTTACGCTTCCATACATGAGTTTCATCAATTTCAATAACGTGGCCAGGCCCCCCGATCTTTGAATGATTCGAGGCTATATGGAATCCACATACCTTTCGAAATTTTTTAAACCTATATAAGTGAAGTAAAAAACCATATTATACTTTAGATTACCATCTTGAAATTGCCTTCTTATCATAATCTAACTCTTTCGAAGCAGTTAAAATTTTATAACGGCCTAAAAATAATTTTGTTTAATATTTTTTAAAGAATTGGTACTTATGTACAAGTACACTACTCTTAAAAATTTCCCAACATCATGAATTCCTTCAAAAATGGAATCTAAAAATTCGTCAATTATGATATATATATATATTAATATTACCTTTCCATATTGAATACGATCTACGACTCCTACTGCATCGATATCGTAAACTCTTATTGTTTTTTTCAACCCGCATTACGGAATTGCAACAAGTATGTTGTATTCCAGGCGGTATAGATTGATTATTTAGACAAAAATCATAAACTTTCTCATCATTTTGAGTATAAACACCAACTTCAAAAATATTCATTATAAAAAAAATGGAAGGAATTATATAATATATATTGGAACTAAAAAAAAGGGAACCAAAAAAAGATTTATACCAAAAAAAAAATTAAAAATGGAAAGTTTCGTCTACCAAAAATCTTACCCCTAGCCTTCCCCCTTATTTGCCCCCATCACTTCCTTTAAATAATTGTACGAATTTTAAATTTTAGAAAAAATTATTTTAAAATATCTTAAATAAAAAATTAACCAATAAGAAAATGAACCAATCATAAAAAAATAACATAAAAACAATAGCTTTCATAAAAAAATTACATAAAAAAAAAATCGCATAAAAAAATAACAAAAAATCGCATAAAAAAATAACAAAAAATAACATAAAAAAATAACAAAAATAATTGCCCCTGAAAAGGTACCCTAACCTATTATTTATAGGTATGAATAACAAATAGATATTAACCCTCTACCAAATGATCTTTGCAATAGTTAGAAAAAAATCTCAGGTATTCCCTTTGACATTTTAATCAATAATTGATCAAAAAAAAAATTTTTTTTATTTTTCTAATTTTTTTATTTTGACCATAATAATGTTTGTTACATATAAGTCACAAATGGTATTTAACAAACAATTTATTGTATTTTATATATTGGTATGAAATAAATAAAAACAGTTTTTATTTGCTTGGAAACATAGTGCACATTGTCATTTCGAGCATTTTACATGTGTAACACTTTTACATAGTGTATTATTGCATTTTTTACGATTATTTGTCTACTCTGGAAAATGTCTAATTTGATCCGTGCAAATATCTGTGGACAATACGAAAGACGTAGGCCCCCTTCTTTTTTTATCTAAGTGAAAATATAATATAATAATAAATAAATAATCACCTTCTTATATTTTGACCATAGAAGAAGGACTTCCGTGTTTCAATTCTATTTAAGCTTCAACTTGACACATTGTTGTGGCTACTTCTTGGCAAAATTCCGATAGAGAAAAAACAGAATTGTCATCTGATTTGGCTTTCTCACCTTGAATACGCTGATATAATAACCAGGAATTTACAATTTTCATATCAATAAGGTGTTGGAAGACTCTTATATACAACTTTTTGGATCTCGTTGTATTATGGTATCTTTCAATATTGCTGTCTAACAAATCAACTCCTCCCATATGTTTGTTATATTGTTTGACAAGCATGGGACAGGCTATATTTAGTCTTTTCTTGGTTTTGCGGTCATATCGTTCAATATGACTCTGGGGTAATTTCCCATACAATGTTGACAAAAAGGTTACCGTTTTATTATCTTTCCATACTAAGGAAGTTATATCTACCTCTTCAATATTAGTCATGTATTGAAAGGATGACCCTCTGATCTCTTTTTTCATTTCGATATCTCTAGGAAGCTTACAATTTGGGATCTTATTCCTCCTTACAGTACCAAGACTGTACACACCTATAAATATACTTGAAAATTAAATATATAATAGATTTATTATGCCTCTTTTTGCCAAATATATCAAAAGGTTTATTGAGGTGTAGTAATTATCAAAATAGAGCTTAAGATTTTGATTTATAGGTATTGTTCGGCTTAGACGCACGACAATATTGCTGGACGCTCCTAAATCTGGTTCTGTTGGTCTTTTTTCAGAATCATTTTCCTGCCCAGAATATAGTTCAAAATCATAAGCATCCTGATACACCGCATAGATTGAAGAATTTTAAGGCCCATTTGTGAGGTTTCATTGGCATATATTGTTTTAAATGTATACGAGCTTTGGTTGAGCAAATTTGTTCATCGTTTGATAAGCATTCCTCTTTAGGAATTGTACGAAACCTATCTTGAAAGTGTTTCACAATTGAGACTACTTTTATAAGCCTATTATGGCCGGGTTCACCTTTTGCTATAGAATTATTATTGTCATTAAAATGAAGAATGGATCGAATGCTTTCAAATTTAATGATAGTCATAGTCTTTTTATAAGATCTTGCCAATTACATCTTTCCAATAGTCTCTTGTGGATGTTAATTAGACAATCGACATGAGAATATTAATCCCAATGAATTTCCTTAACTCCATTATAGAAATATTTATAGGTTTGTTAATATTTTTTATTGCTGCATATTTGGTTGATTCGAGAACTACTAAATTTAGGAAAATATCCTTCAAAAAATATGATGAACATTGATAGGGAATATGTAAAGCCCGCATCTCGCTGGATAAAGTGGACTTTCCATTGAATTTTAGATAATTTTTAGGAATATTTAAATTATTTTCCTTCCATAATATATCTCTTCGTCTATTTATAATAGTAAAATTATCTGAAAATGTTAAATTAGCATCCTCATTATCGTGGTAAGAATAATCAGATAATGAAATCATATTAGTATTACATATGACTACTAATCAGTCACATAGTACCGCGTAAATTATTTTGGCGCGAAAATTTTTTGTGTCTTATAAGTAACATTTCTTTAATAAAAAAAATCATTTTTTTAAATAGAAATTCTTATATTTAT